GGCTAGGTCTTCCCATCACCAATGGCAAATTGGCATTTTTTTAAACTAAAGGGTGCATTCTGACTATCAGCATATAATTCCTGTTAAGTAGCCCATGGGAAGGGAAGAGGCATAGGGAAAAGAGTGAGCATGAATATTTATTCAGTTCGGTGATAATCACAATTAAATTTTCTTGAAACAGGGGTAACGTTTGCTTTCAATCCAGCTTCTGTCAAAGAAGTGGAGAAGCTTAGAAAGATCTGAATTTTTGCTCAGGAAAAGTAACTTCTACTTGTAATTAGCTACTTTTGGTGAGAAGTAATTCTACTGGTAACTAATTACATTTTAGATGGAATACTTGTAATTGTAATCAGTTACTTTTTACAAGTAACGCACCCAACACTGCTCGTATGTATCTGTAGGTTATCTAAAAGAAAATCCAATTTCGGGATTCCTTTACTCCTTTACGGACTTTCTTCAACGATATCGCTCCACAAATGATGAAGAATCTTGTAGAGCGTTGGAACCGTCCAAAAGTGGCACATCATGAGTATTGCATTTGACAGAACGACGTTGCAAATGTGGACTCACGAACAGAAACGTTCGAAATCTTACTCCGTGATTTATTGAGGAAACATCCCTGGAGTCCAAGGTCCGAATGCATAAACCTCATTTAGGTAAGATAAAGGGTCCTTTAAACATTAAGCTCTTTTCCCCTCCGCCCATAGGATTCCATGTCTTCTTTAAGGACCGTTAAATACAGGTTTCGGCATTCGGACCTGAGCATCCAAAGAGCATGGCGCTGTATGGACTCAGCTAACGTCGTAGGGAGAAGCAGCTCAATGCTAAATGTAACGCGAAAAACTATCTGGTTTCTTGCTGTCTCATTCTTCCAGCGTCTCGAAACGTTGGCCGATTCTCCGTTGTCTTGAAGTTTTTTGCCGTTTAATTTCCCTGTTTGCTTCATCTTCTGCTGCATGCGAGATATGAACATCCTGTTACGCGAATAAATTCTACCGAATGAAGAAACTACGGGGTTTTAGTACGAACGTGCAGATTGGTCATCGTGAGCGACGGAAGATCTGCTGCACCTCCTCTCAACCATGGACTCGGAAATGAATATAATTCAAGGTGAGGATTGAATCCCGTGAGCACATGATTTAGTTCCAGTCCACCCGCCGACCGTTCAGACAAGTTTCCGAACGAAATCTCACCAGATCCCTCTCAATCTTAGCAGCGTTGAAACGATCGAGGGCGCATATTAAAAGATATTGCCTCGTATTCCTCTTACACTCCAGAATGCATAACGTACTTTTAGTCTCCAATGGCTTGCTTGGCTAGCACAAAAAAAAAGTCATGGAGCTGGGCAGTAGCAAAAAACGTTCCCCTGGGTCATACATTTTTACAAGTGTCTGACCAAAAAGGTGGTCCGGTTCGGTTCCTTTCATCATGAGTTTGGGACAGGTTCGCCTCTGCCACCCAATTCAACCACATTTGAACCTATAAAAGATCTCAACGGCGCAAGCAAACATCGAGGACGCCAAGTGTGAAAACTACCTAATTTAAGATAAAAAAAGATCTCACTTGTCTGCACACATATGGAAAATATGCGCAGAACTTGGGATTTTCAGATCTAAGTTGCCGTGGATGAGATACAAACTCCAAAGTCTTGCACCTATTGAAGCACTTAACCATCTAGAGGTTTCATAAATTAGGAATGTACAGTGTATCTCATGCCGAGGTCCATTCAATAATTGCATTTCTTTTTTATTGGCAAGAAAGGCCCAAGAATTCCAAGGCACGAAATTCGAGTGATCGGCCTCAACCACTCATTCTCCCTCACCTACACCTTTCCATCTCAGATACCAAGAGAGTATACCATTAAAAAGGAATCTGTCAACATATTTTTCAATATATGAGCAGTTGGCAGAAAGAAATGAGAACGTGAGTTCATGTGCTCAAAAATTGTTTCATTACTACCCAAGACAGATACACAATGAACATCACAACAGAACCTCCACCGCATTGCATGTGATGAGAGTACATTTTGTGTAGACTACAGATCCACAAGATCAGGCAATGAATCCTCGTGTTACCGGTGAAAAATATAAAAATGGAATTCAAATATCACCTTGTCACATTCTTATACCAAATGCTGTACATGATTTCCATTCACTGTACTGTAGTGAATTATAGGAACTTGGATTTTTTACATTGTTGGAGAACAAGATCAGATATCTGCTTCTACTTTACACTCCATTCATCAACCTGAACCTGTGAATAAGCAAAATGGCCATATGATAAAAAGCACGAGAAATAGAAACCTTTAGGAAAGTGACTTGCAAGGAAAGACAAGAATAGGATTCAACGTGTGACTAATCTAATTAATATACTTGACTGTATTTCTCTCACAGAATCTGAAAAGAAAACAAATTAATTGCACTAGCAAAGCTGTCACATGTTTCTCATAACATCCAAACATTGCCAGATAATTTCCCAATTTATTGGAGAAAAAAAGGGCAAATACTGGAATGCTATTTCATTGCTTGTAGGTTGTATTGGAGTTTCAATTCCCTATCCCCAATCCCTATTTTCAGGATTTCAACTGTTTAAAAAATTTATTCTACTCAATAAGGGACACACAATTCATGTGATTTTGTCACAGATGTGTCCATACTGTTGCTAGCCAACATCTCCACAGAAAGAGGAGGAGGTTATATTCTCACATCACCAAAGGTATGCTTGCAGTGCAATGGACACAAAAACAAAAAATCCAATCGAGGGTAAACACAAATCCGACAAACATGTGGAATGACTTTCCATATGAGCCATGTGCAGATTTAAAAAAAAACGCCCTGATTGTATAGATGAGAAAGGATGAAGAGACACCAAGATCACTCCAGTAGAGGTATCACATGAATGGATCACAATGGCACATGCCACAGCATTGATACTCCCTACATGGTTTCCTTCATTTAATTTCTATTCTGAAGTCTGTGGCCATGTTGACATCTGGTTTCCTGATTGTCAACAACTTTTGTTCTTCATCATACTTGAAGTGAAGTGGCTGAATTCCATGATCTAAATAAAGGGGAAAAAAGAGAGGCATATTCAAAATAAGAATAAAAATGGATTTGGCCAATGGCAGTGACTCAACACAATAATTCATAGTGACACTAGCCAAAGCTTGGTACCTGAATGCTTCCTAGACCTCAGGGCACTGATAAGAATTAGTTACCATGCCTTGCAATAGAATATTGCAAAAATTGTCAAAAAGCACCCATTTCTCAAACACCCTTATGACACCAGACTAAATGAATAAGCTTAAAGATAGCACAACAGATGTTTCTTTCATACTTACCTCCCAACTTAATTTGAGCATGAAGGTTTTTAGGATTATGCTAGGCTAATAGGTTACAAAATAAATCAAACCAAATATTCTCCTCCATACCAAAGTCTTTGAACCTAAGATCAATTTAGAAAATGCTATTGCGGGAAGGTAAACCCTGTCCAAAACCCAATTTCTTGAATAATTGGACATCTTGTATAAGATGTCCAATTATTCAAGAAATTGGACATCTTATACAAGATGTCCAATTATTCAAGAAATTGGACATCTTGTATAAGACACTTCTGGCTTAAGTCACATGAAGGGAGGAAGGAATAATGCACCATGAGATGAGATGAAGATTTCAGTTGGTCTTCTCTTGTAACCCACCACAAGGACCTTCTCCAACCAGGACTTGGTGTTGTAATATGCTTCCTCATGGATTTTCCTGTTTAATGCCAAATTCATCATTTCAATTTTCATATAGCTGTTGATCAAGGGTATAATCCTCAAAGTTTACAGTAAGTGTATGAAGAAGGTTGCTGCACATAAAAGACTTCATGGAATAGATTAACTTGTAATGGATGCATCCAGGCAATATATTTTCTACCAATAGGAAGGTACTCCTCAATTGAAATGCCAAATCCCTTGTTTTATCAAAATGCAAAAATTTTATGTGAAGGCATTAAAAAAAGGGTGCTGTATCCATTCACAAAGTATGAATGATTTTGTAAAGAAACACCTGGTCCATTGTCTCCAGCAGGAACAAGAAAGAAAAACATGGCAAAATTTTGGACATGCACCGCTGCAATGTATCAATCTCATCTGAATCACAAGAGAGAATTTTTTTCCAATAAAACTTAAATGCTGCTAAGATTCTGCCACTTGCTCTTGTGTGGTTTTCAGCTTAGAAAGGAATATGAAGAAGGAAGAAGACAGGAAGCATGCTTCCAGCAAGAAAGAGTATGGAAAATTTGAAAATTATTAATTTAAACAGGAATAACTATATCTAGTAAGAATACCCTCCTGATATTTGGTGTGCCTCTTTAAAAGCATTCTTTAAATGGGCCCATATTAAAATACTCTTCTCATGCTACTCATGATCAATGAACATGGGCATTTTTTTTAGACAGAGTTATGCTCATTTTATTAAAAAATAAAGAAGTTATGAAAAAAAATTAAAAATTTCCTCAAGATATTAAAAATTTAGGTATAAAATCACTAAATTGAAAAGTTCCAAAGACTTGGAGGATTAATTTCTGGGGAAGTCACATGGAAGCAGCTTGGGTGAAAGTTTTGCAATGCAGTATCATGGAAGCATGGGTGAGATGGGAAAAAGATTTGGCAAGAGTTTTCTCATAAATGGGGCAAACCTCCAAGTCAGATTTAGGGAAAACCTATGCCTACCACTGCTTCTTTTGGATTCCAGACATTTAAGATGAAATGACTCAGTATACCTTCTCTTCTTCCCTCTTCTTTTATGCACTCAAAAAGTAAAGTGTGGACTACCACTTCATATTTTCATACAGAAGGTTTCACCATGGGCAATTATTATATACAGTATAATGACTTATAAATGCTTAGAAACCAATTACATTTAAAAGCACCTTCCTTGAATTTGATGGAGGTGGCATATTCTATGAAAAAGGAAGAAACATGTATTTTCCTGAAAACTTGGGGTAGGTACTTGTACACCCTTTTATCCATTTTGAAGGTATTTTTTTGGTAAATTGACTAAGAGTCCATTAGCAGATGAAACAGGGTGCAAGAACCCAGGATTAATCATTAGTCATATTCTTGGCATTTTATCTTTGTGGTTTTTTTCATCATTTGATGCTGAGAGCCAATATGAAGTAAAACTTGCTGAAATGATCAGAGGGTCACTTACCTGCTGATGAGATGATCATTCTCAAAAACGAACTCAATGTAAAGGTGATGGTTCTTTCTGTACTCAAAGGATACCCCATCATCAATATACAGTGTCCCCTGAGCACCACCCTAGAAAGCAAAAAAGTTATTTCTCAGTTAGAATCTCCAGGTTCATATGTTCAAAACTTGGGGAGAGGTTTTAATAACAGCTCAGTTCTTCTGTATACTGACCAAGTGATTCAGCATAAAAAGATATCCACCGGAAGACCTGGAACTCACATTTCACATAAGGTTTAAAAAAAAAATTAGGACAGCTCTCCTATATCTAATTGGCATAGCAACTACAATACTGACCTGAACCAAGAACTGAGTAAGACACACTACTCAATGGAAAATGGGAAGAGAGGAAATAAGGTGGGATGCAGTTCCTACATAGTTGATGTTCAGCTCTGACCATGCACAATTGAAATTCAGATTTTGCTGCATGGTACATAAACGAGCTGGAAAGATTACTTCTTTTTTTTTTTTAAACAACAACATTACAGGGTGTTTTACACTTCTTCAAATCACTCTACCACTCAAAATCAATTCCACAGGTGTCACATGAAAAGATACCATTCTTTCTCATTTAAAAAAATCACAGGCCAACAAGCATTGCTCTCTCCTGGTGAGATCAGTGACATACATAGTGGATCACATGGGGGAAAAAATTTACAGAATCAGATGTCTTTGATTGGTAATTCTTGAATTATGACTCATAGTCACCCTTGATGAAAGCTTGAGAACAAATAAAGAGCTTAACTAGTTGGAGCCTGATTTTGATGGAAAGAAGTGACTCAGAAAAATCAATTTTCAAAAAAGTTCATTTCTTTTAGTTGTCTTTATATTTATATATATATATATATGTCTTGTTCAGTCAATCAGAAGAGGAACACAGCAAAAGCACAAAAGTAAATTGTTCAGGAGATACAAGAAACATACTTTGTTTTGTGGAAGATCCATGAAGTCAAATGTATTTTGGATAGGCTTTTAAACTGCTTTAATGGCAAAATACCTCAGGATGCTTTGTGTCAATCTATTCTTAGAATCCTCAAGAACCTTCATATATTTAACTTGATTCTGAAAAAAAAAAGAGTAGTTTAGTGCCTTCTAACACTGACCAAGGGAAATAAACCATAGCTGATTGGATTTAATCAGAGGATAGAGAGACATATTTATTTCCTAACTGGACTGGAACATCTAAAGATAGTGAATAAATTTTTCTCATCATTTGTTTCATTCATTTTGCAAACTTATGGTCTGGTCTTTGCAAACTTTCCAGCTCCATCACATACTGGATGAAATCCAGTCCATTTTGACTCCTCTCTGAGAGATGAGAGTACATGGGGAACAAAAAAGTTAGGGAAGTAGAGGATGGAAATTATAATTAGTGGCAACTGACCATTGCATCAAGTGCAACAACTAGTGTGTATGGGTCATGATGGGTCAGGGCAGAGGATCTCCGCATGCGTTCCTTCTTAGATATCACTGTCCCTCCCCTCTGGTATACAGGCACCTAAGGGAATTTCAGCATTTTCATCAGAATATAGCATCAATATCATGCCATGAATTAAGGCAAGGAGAGAGACTTGAAGAAATACCTTATCAAGATTCACAGGCACATCAATGGACTGGGCTCCACTGAAGAGTTCAAAGGTGTCAGTGTCATACCATAACTGGCCTTGACCAGGGAAATATACAGTAACACTTTTGGCTCCTTCATCAGTCACTGGATGAACCAGCAAGGCATCACCTGGTGAAAAAACAACAACCACTGTTGTATTACTCTTCAGGACTCTCTTCTCAGTGACTCATAGCAAACCATTCATCAATGGAAGCTGAAACATGAAGGGTTCCCAATAAAAGTGCCAGAAGGACATGGTCAACATGACTGCATGTTCTGAACCTCAATGAAAACAGGCATAAATTAAAAACACTAATGGAGTCAAGAACAGGACAAGAAATGCAAAAGTACACACCCTGCAATAATGTCCATGAAGTCAAACATCAATATGCATTATAACTTCTTCAAGTGCCTTTATGCAGCTTTTAATATGACAGATAAGATCAGAATTGGATAAATTCAGAAATTACAGGTGAGTCATAGTAATATTGCTTGCCCTACCTTTCTGCTTCTCCTTTTTAACCTCAATAAATCATAAAGCAATATGCTTGAGATTCCAAGCTAGCAACACTTTTAGCCCTATACACACCACATGGTTCATAATACAGTGAACCCTTAAACAGTTCACTTGACTTCTGGGTTGTACTAAGCCAAGAAATCTTGTTTAAATATAAGCAGGAATCGAAAACTGCCTAAACCTGACCCATCAACATGTGGTGAGTTCTCATATTTACTGAAATTGTTGGTACATGGAGTCAGGGTTCATGTAAACACACCAGTGTTCCAGGTGCTGCTTAGTTAAAAGTTGTATTTTTTATATGAAGCCTTTGTTTCTCTCATCTTTCCCCATTTTTTTTCAAGGTAAGACATTATTCTTCAGTTATAAAAAGTCCTCTAGTTTTAAAGGAAATAAATAAGTGCATATCTAAATATCTAAATGAAATCAGGTAAAAATAAAAAAATTGTAAATACCTATAAATCATGTAAACATATAAATGCAAAGTAATTAAATACTTAAAGCAATAGTATTAGTTTTCAGCTGAGGATTCCAATCTGCAACATATTTTTTTCTGAACAATTACACCATTTCATGAAAAAACAGAGCACTCTCCCTGAACTTGAGTGGATATTGCCCTCTTTCCTTGTTCATTGCTTGAAATTCCATGCACCAATTACAATGATTTCCTTATGGTTGGAAGGTCTCTTAGTTCCCCTTGATTTAGGATATAATACAAAACAACTCATGTAGGAACATTGATAGAGTGATTGAGAAAAGATGGAGGGGATTGTCTTGTCCACTACCTCTTCACCACTGCTTTTTTTTTTAATGGTGTATTTCTACGAATGCCAGCTGAAGCATTAACCCTTTCTGTACCATGGATGGCAATCACTGTCATGAGTTTTTTAGACCTGGGATACTATGTACATAGAAACAAAATTCATTTCTTGGTAAGTGGAAAAAAAAACACATTCAATTAACATTACTAGTTCCAGAGATATATGCATTTTACCAAGCATGTATGTAAAATCCACCATGTAGGAAATGGTTCTGGCAGTAGCAAACTCATGCATTACAAAAAATTTTGGCACAAAGGGTAAAACAGGGCTGAAAGTGCTAAGGGAACAGCTAAAGCAAAAGTATTTACAGTCCTGGAAATTATGCAATTAATTGGAAAGGGTACATATAAAAACTGTGAAACTGCTATATTTTCTCCGTTCCCTTCTTAATTTGACAGAAAAATGCAGTTCAACATGCATGTAATCATATATGTGGTGTACTCATGAAATAATAATGAGTTGGTAGGGAGACAAAAGGGTATAAATACAGGTAAGGAGAAATTTTGCTGTAAGTCAAACTTTATGATGCTTTACAATTTTTAAAACTAAATATCATCTGTAACATATGGTGTTTCTCAATTAGACTTTTACGTCTGACAGAATGCTAGGCACTAGTGGCTAAATGCTTCACTCCTCTAACTAAAAAGATTTGCATGCATTACATAATCCTCATACCCTTCCTACAATGATGTGTATGAGCAGGAGGGAGTATGAAACAAAGCAATGTGTACAGATTATTTTTAAAGATCTCTGAAGTACTTTGCTGCTAGCGTGCAGCAATTTTCAGCTGGCATCAAAGTTAATTAGAAACACTTTGGTTTCAGATGGCAATACCTCTATGCAAAGATTCTGTAAGACATAAAATTTCATGTAAGAGTTATGAATTTCTAGGGAAATATGGGTGCTTGACTTCTTAAAAACTTGGCAAAATCTTAACACTAGTCTACTTTCTTCCCTAGATGAAGAAAAATTCCATGTACACATTGCACATACCAATATTACTAAAATTAAAATATAAAAAAAACAGATCAGCCATCAGATTCAACTCTGCAATATTTCACAACTTCTTTCGATGAAAGTCTTTTGCAACATAGACTTGTATCATAATTCAAAGGTTATTTCATTTGCTGCAAGTGGGTTGTCCTAAAGGTCAGAATTAAAAAGCCAAAACCCTTATGGAAAAGCAAAGTAAGATTGCAAGAAATCATGCAATTATAAGCAAGAAATGCTTTGGAGCTCATGAATCACCTGTTAAGGCATAATTTGTTTAGCAAATAGACCCACTCTGTTTTAATATGGTACCACATGTTGCATGAATGCAAAATGGTATTCAAGACAGACCAGTTTTGCATGCATAAAACTTATTCTGTTTGATTAAACAAGGAGTAGTTCCTCACTGGGTATTCAGGTAAGTCTCATAGTAAAGGTTTGTACCTAGACATCCCATTTGCATGGTGTGCAGGTTTTGACATGCTCTTAACATGTAACTCTAAATGCTGGATAAGTTTATCCCTCTTTACTGAGAAACTTTTACTACTTCCAGTCCAATTTTTAGGGAACACTCACAGACATATGGGCATGCATTGAACATATTGAACAAAGGGAAAAGTACCTATCATGGGAGGTACATAAAAGTGCCCTGGTGCATCACAGAAAAGCAATTCTTACTTGGGCCTCACTTTCCTGCACAATACAAGAGAAGGCACTTGTGTTCCATGGAGGCTTGTGAAAAGTTCACAGATATTTTAAGTCAACACCACAGAATGCACTTTCTATCTCTGATTACTGCTGCCAGTAGTGTCAATAGCTCTCTTTCATTTTGATTTTTCCATGAACTTCCAGACAGAAGAACTGAAACTGTTTCAGTAATTTTTCTTGTTAGTCATGGGTGATGCCATGGTGTGCATGAGAAAAAACCATGAGAACTCTTTCTCACCCAGTAGATGCTGATCCTCCATTGTGAATGTGTTTCTATCTGTAGGATATTCCATCCAAAGTGGTCGCATTGGAGGCATCCCTTTGATCTCATTCTCGTAAAAAAGAGTATACCAGAGCGGGAGGTAGGAATATCGTTTTCTAATGGTATCTCGGAAGATTCTCAGGGCATTCTCAGAGAAAAGCCATGGCTCACGTCGCTTTGTATCTATGTGTGAATGAACTCTCAGGAATGGTTGGAACACTGCTGCCTGCAAAAAAACATGCAAAGATATAGTACTTGAGCTCCTTCTGGAACAACGACACTTTCAGCAGAAACATTCAGCAAAAAAGTCAAACATTCACTAAAAAAAAAGAAATTAAGGCCAAAAGCACTCTAATCGCAGTCAATACCAATGATATAAGGATAGGGAAGTACCTGATACCATCGAATGAGTAGCTCCTCTGAAGGATCCTGGAAAAAGCCTCCCACATCTGCACCACAAAATGACATCCCAGCCAGAGACAGTGATATGCACATCGGGATTGTTGCCTGCAGAGCAATATTCATGATTTACATGGTGCACTCATAAAAAACACTTCAGCCTTGTTTTTCCACATTCTAAATCAGGACAGAAAATAGATACTTCTAGAAAAAGCCATTCCACTCCAAGAAGACAAAAGCCACCAGAGTTTGGAGGAGTTCTAAGGTAGCTAGTGATGAATACATGAAAGGAAATGGCAACCAATGTGTTCCATATATGGGAACAATATGTGGGAACAAAATTGCATTCATCAGCATACTTGAGGGTGATGCTAAGTATTTGAATGCAAGACCTGGGTAAAAATTAGGGCTGTCACAATAGGTCTATGCATCGATACCATAATCAATGGTTGGAGGTATTGATAGTTTTTTCGACCATTGGGATGCATTGCAAAATATTTTGAAGGGGAAAAGTCCAATTGGATTGAGGCGAGTACAGTACAATACAATCCATCCAGGCAGGGAATGAAAGAGGCGGTGTGACAGTGTGGCTCGCAAGGGTGTGCAATTTCTTATCATGATCAAACTCAGGAAATGCTGAGACTGACAATATGAGAGATGGGATGATAAAAAAAAACAAACATGTTGGATCAGAGACAGGAAGTGGGGAAGGAAAGGGAGGGAAGACCTAGAATATTTTTTTCTCTTCTGTTTCAGTCTTCAGCTCAATCTCATCAGGTTCAGGCTGTGAAAGTGGACTGTTCTTATATTCCCTTGATTTTTAAACATACATTGGTTGATCCCCCTCTATATTTCAGTCTTTCTCTTTATTATGCAGGCTTAATTTTTTTAATTTCTAACTTGTCCTGGGTCATTTTACCTCTTAAGGTGAACACAAAGTGAATTTTTTACATGGATGTTGCATATTCTAGGTCTGTACCAATGTTTTGGCAACTGCCGGTTGGCACCATTGGCAGGTTTGCAATCTGTCAGTGCCAATGTCCAAAGAAGTCCATGTAGAATGAAGAACAAGAGAAAAAAAATTGAGTGAATGGGCTTGGCTATTGATTCTCAAAGGCAAAAAGAAAAAATTAGGGCTGTCCTGATGCGTCCATTTATGAATGGATGTAATTTTCAATAGTTGGAAGCATGGATTCATTGGGAAGGTCACACCTTCCCCCTGCATTCCTCAATCACAAGCGTGAGGTATGGAAGATGGATAGAGGTTTGCGCTCCGATCGAGGCAAATGACATAAATCAAACCCCCACCCAATTGTGGCAAGAAAAGATGGAGTACTCCAGCACCCCCCCTCCCCTTTCCCTCTCCCTCTCCCAATACAGCAATACACTATCGATAGTTCATGTCAATGCATCAATGTTTTGAAAATTGCCATCATGACAGTCCTAGTAAGAATCTGATACTGTAGCATTCTATTTTCTGCAGCAAATTAGTCTACTATAGTTGAATCAGACTTTAAAATTTTGAGGAAGAGACACTCTAGTGGTCCACAGAACTATGAATAACCAGAATGTAATGCAAACAGAATGAAGAACTGTATCATCCTCCAACACAAGGAAGAGGTTTGAGTCAACTGACCTTGAGATGTTCCCATTTAGCCATGTTGTCACCAGTCCAAATGGCTGCATATCGTTGGGAGCCAACAAAGGCTGCCCGAGTGAGGATGAAGGGACGCAGCTGCCCATTGGAGCGAAGCAAGTGCCCTTTGTGTGTACTCATGTGCTGAGGAAATAAAAAAAACAGATGAAGGAAATTCTCACCCACTCCCTGAGTAAATTTCCCATTCACAGCATTTTACATGAGGATATGTAGGGTGCTTAAAGAAAAAGCTCCTCTGTCCTGCCTTGGGGATACACCTCAAACCTATCAGTTATATTCCTTCTGGATGACTACCAAATAACATCAAGGACAAGAATTACATCCATTGAACAGAAATTATTCCAGGCTTCATTACAGTTAATACACCTTTTTTATGAAGAGAACCATGAATTATGGAAACTTCAATTCCAAGTCATGATCTCTCTGCTCTCAGTTGATTTACTCCTCTGCTCAAATTACTTAGGACAAATGTGCTAAAACTGAAGCAGGGATTACATTCCTTATCTGCATGACACTAACATCTGCTAGGGATACAAATATAGCAAGGCATCTGACCAAGAGGATTTATCCATAGGTCAATTCTGGTATCAATCAAGGTAAATAAAGTCAAGGGATGGTTCCAGTGCAGCTCCAGAATCCCATTGTCTGATTATTTTCAAGAATGAGAAGTTCAGACACCATTTAACATGAGAATATGAATTCATTTCAATTGAGATTAACACCCTATGACCACTTCTTTCAACAAAGGTCTTGATTAAAATAATATAATCAGCTCTGAACACAGCTAATTCATAGCTGATATCAACTAGCACCCAGTAAAGCATTCCTGTCTAATAAAGGTGTTTGAATTAGCTTCAGCTCTGAGGAGCTTCATTTATTGATGAATGCCTGGGGGTATAATAACACTGTAATAACTTGATAAAAATACATGCACTGAGTGTAAAAGCTTAAGCCTAAAAAGGTTGGCTAAAGCAAGCCAAAAAGCATTAGGCATGATTTTCATGAATACATTCAACATAAAAAATTAGATCTAAGGCCATTGATCAGTGACAGTTGGAGATACCTGTGATAGTTCATGGATCCCCCTCAATCACATCTTGGCATTCCAATAAGTTGGCACCCATAGAAGTTGCCCACACAGTTTATACCCAATGCAGGCCATGGTTCAAGATTCACATTGTCATTGACAGAATGCAACATTCTCTCATCATGAGGAATACTTACATTGAGGAACCCATAGAGATTGTGAACATCACGATGCTCCCAGCCACCAACATGCTTCAAATCTTTTGGCATAGTGACTTCAGGTCCATTGAACACAGATGGTTCATTCATATCATTCCAGGTATAGAGATCAAGAGTTGATCCCTGGTATTTGTCAAGAGAGTAAAGGGATGCCCAGTAATCCTGAACTTCTTCACTCAGGAAGTCCAAGTATGCTGATGATCCAGGCCAGCACCAACCTGAGACATGCCGATAAATTCAGCAACTCAATGAAGGACTTGGCTCAAGGGCAAATTCTAACAGAACAATGCCAATATGTACCAAACAGAATCATATAACAGAAAGTCTGAATAAGCAATAGGCCTACAGTCACACATTCCCTTTATGCACATCTAAATGTTCAAGTTCACCTTTCAATGACATGCTAATGAACAGATGAGAATAAAAACATCATCCAATAGCATTGTCAAGAGGGCTCTCATCAAAGCTATTATAAACATGTAAGTCTCCACAGCTTATTCTTAGCCTCTTCCCTTTCAGCTTTATTAATCCCCTTTACAAAGTCTATGGAGACTCCCCATTCCTCCAACCTCATGAATTTAGTTGATAGATCATCATAGTCGATTTATGGCAAGTTCTTTTTTGAATCATTCTTCCAAATCCCCACATACATTTTCCCCACTACCAACATACATTTTGGCTCTTCAAAACTCCCAACGAAGTCCTCATTTCAAATTAAAAATTAAGAATAGTTCTTTACTTTTCAAGTTTTACATTTTATTCCCTTCCTAACATTTTGTAGGAATCGAATGACTCTCCTTGATTTATAGACAAGGCTCAGTCCTTACAGGATTTCACCCATTCAACTAACATGAACAAGTTCACATCACTGATATTCCACTGTTCCTTCATAACCACATAAAATCATTCATCAGACATTCGAATCTTGTCCTGAACACACAAGAAACTGGATCTGTCAAATAAGGCAACAGATGTATTTCTGACTGCAAAATGGATGTGATCATGAATAGAACTTCAATAAATACACTATATACTCACTCAAATGCTTGCAAAGGCAAGACAATGCATGATCCATGGATCTTTTGAAAATTGCGAGATGATGGCTTTGCTCTCATTGATAGCTCAATACTAAGGAAGTACCAATATCCACATATCCCAACTACAAATCCCCAACAGAAACAAAATGCAAACTTAAAATGAATCAATATACTAATAAAAATTAAAAAAAGAGTACAATATGAGGAACACAATCTGTAGCAATTATGCAATTTAAAGTAGGCAAAGATGGAGTTGTCAGACTACAAGTCTTCTTCCCTCTCTTTCTTTGTTATTCCCCCCCTACCTATGCACTATTTTCCTCCTTCAACAAATACATTCAGGGACCCACCAATTTTGATTCAGGACTTTCACTTCAAATTGCTCTTAACCCTTTCATGCATGAATTTTTAAAGCAAAACAAAAATATGCTTTTTTTGGTTTAATGTTTAAGGAGGTACTCTGCCATAGTAGCTAAATGTTCCACTGCTAGAAAGCAACACTGAACAGATTATGTGCCCTTGAGTTGACTGCATGCACCAAAAGTTTTGAGGCATGAGTACCATGGCCAAAAACCCATCATCATTGCCATCCACTTCAGTGGATACCAAGCACAAAAGGGTTAAAGAAAACCATCAATGGTGATGTGGATTCAGCAATTGCATAGTGCCAATGAAGAATGCATGCCCTGTACTGTTGGTTCTAAAAAAAAACTATTCAGTGAGGAAATAGTTTTCTTTTCTAATTTTTTAATACCAAATCTGGAAAAAAAAGAAGTAACAGCCCAAGATGTGATATTACTTCCACATAAATGTCTCTGCATGGTTCTTTTTTTCATCTCTGACCAAGCTGGAAAGGAAAATATAAACAGGGATCAATAGCTTCATGGGAATTGATCCATGGAGGAGGTCTGTCCTTTCTGCAAAATTTATTTACTTAGAGCCCTCAGCTTTATATGAGTATGAGTACATGAAGGAAATGAAAATGAAAACATTTTATACACATGCTATGAAGATAATTTTTACAGGAAAGTATCTGATCTGATGAGATATTTAAAAAATGTGACTTCTCCATAAGTTTCTCATCATCCTCTCAGTGCAAACATTTTTCTTTTATCAAAGACATTCCATCAATCTGGAAAGCTAACCATTTTGATCATCCTTTGTACAACAGCATTATTCACTGCATGTATTCAATAGTTAGGGAAAATTTATTCTCTCTATATATAAAGGAAGAACTACTGAATCAACTGAACAGACAAAGAAGACCACCTACCATCATAGTCATCTCCCTTGGAGTTCTTGACATAATAACCACGACTTGATGCTTCTTGGTGCAGGAAGTATCCACCATCTTTCTTTATGTGTGGATCTACGATGGTAACCATTTTCCGACCTCTGGATGCCAGAGAATTTATCATTTCTATAGAATTTGGAAACTTGTGTGAGTCCCATGTGAAGTACCTGCCAATAAATTCAAATATGGCTGTCATATTAAGTTCATAAATATAACTCCAGAGAACATGACCATGAAGCCCAGTCAAGGTTAGCTTTTGGTCATCCTCAATTCTCAGAACACACCCCTTCCAACAGAAAAATATAGTCACATGGAATATTCATAGATATATCCCTCCGGCTCTATCTCTATTTCACGAAATATGTTTTTCACTTATTCTTGATAGATAAAACATTTTGATTCTTGTTATTGTATGCTTCTTCACATCATTCCTGGTGGCTGAATAGAGGTAGACATTCACAGGCATGGCAGCAGCTATATTTTGGCTAGACTCATGCTGTAAACTTGATTTCATTCATATTTCCCCAATGTGTTTCTTTTTCCTTGTGGAACCTCAAGCAAGAAGTGTAAGTTTTAGCTATAGTGCCAAATGTTTGATATGAGAACTAAGACAATCTTTCTCTGCTTGGATATTTTGTAGTACTATTTTTAAAATAAGGTAGGAAAGGCAAAGACAGCAGTTTGCAACTTCTGTCATACATGGGGTGCATTTGATTGCTGTCCCTGGAAGAGTTTCTACTCTGCCTCATGCAAGGGCAGGTACAGCACGAATAAAACAACCATCTCCTATGTGATGACATATGCAGAGTAGATAACTCTCCTCTACAGAGCAACATGTTACCAAACACTGCAGCAGGTCCTACCTGCTGCTTCATTTCAGACTTCATGAATACTTTGTAATGTAAACCTTTAATGTAAAATAATGCAAATGAAAGATTCTACACACCAGTAATAACAATTATAGGTCTTTGAATGCATTTGGCAAGGGTAGAGAGTGAGAGACTTGAGAGTCACTATCAATGAGAAACTCAAGTTCTCCTCACACAAGCAAGTGACAGTATCCAAATGTAATAAGATCTTAGGCTAGAATCAGCATCTCATTGCCAATGAGGACTAACACACTATTCTTTCATTGTATGCAACTCTAGTGAGACCCCATTTTGAGTACTGTGTACAGCCTAGTACAAGTTATAATTTATAAAGCTTCCAGTTTGACTAGATCCTTGTTCACCATGGAAGAAGTGAATCATGATAGAGTTGAAATTCACAGTAACAAGGACAAGGAAAGGCCAGAGACAATGATCTATTCTGCAAAAGTAAACTTTTCCTAGTAATGCACAACCAAGATGGATAGAGAGAGGGAAGAGGAATTCCCAGGCTCCACCCCTTTCTTGGCCTTACAATACTGAAACCCACTGTTGCCTACAATTCAACTTATCATGGCCATTGAACAAGGAGCTGGTCAATGTGGAAGCCTTGAAAATGGCTTACCACAGTGTGAGGGCAAATAGAATGTATCAGAGTCTGATTTATGCATTCTGAGATGAAATAAAAACAGGAATTTTCAGCCAAGAGAATAAAACTAATGGACAAAGTAATGTGCCAATTAAACCTATGCTGGAACTTCAACTGGGCTTTATGGTAACCCTGGACATTTTTGTGAAGGAGCCAGGAAATTTTCACTTTTTGCTGTCAGTGTGTTCGATGTCAAGCCACAATACATCATAGGGGATGTGATGGATGTCAAAGTTGGCATCCACTGTTCTGACATCCTCTTCATCCTTGTAGTTCCACCGAGAATGATGAAATCCCACAGCAAAGTACTGCAAGAGATTTGGAAAGACATTGAGATGCTCAGAATGCCTGAATAAACAGAACATAAGCATAACTTCCAGAAAGAATTAGCAACGCTTCTGGAACCATAAGCATAACTTTTGCATAAGCAGACATTCCCTTTATAAAAATAAAGAAAACTAGCTGATAATGCAAAATTAAGGACAAACAAGCCTTTTAAAAACTTTCATCTGTCCAGAAACAATTCTGCTGGTTCCATGATTCCAGGAAAATATGAGAAGACAGTAAAAATAAAAGGTGATGTACTCTGACATTACATGCATACATAAATTTTAAAAAACCACTTACACCAGTGGTATTTAAACTTTTTGAGCCAGGGGTCACAAACAAATGTGACCAAACTTGTGTGGGTTGCACTTAAAAAAAAAGTATACTAGTATGAATTTAAAAATCCAGTCAGGGTTACAGTGTTCATTGTAGGTTTCTTTTCACTGCAAAGTACATTTAGTCTTCACAGGCCACAGTTTGAGTAGCGCTGGCTTACATCAACATATTGGGGCTGCAGTTCAAGCATGCCAATGAGCATCCTTCAGTGTTTGCTATTCTGAGCAACAGACTCAAGCTCAGCAGGTGGTATACAAAGATTCTTATGGCAAAGATTTACAATGTAGTCTGACCACCTAGAATGAGGTCTACTGACTGGTCTTTTGCTGGTCATTTCAGATTGGAAGACTCTTTGGGAGTCTCTCAATCTGAAGAAGTAGCTCTTTGACCTGGAGGTTCTCATAGATGGTGGCACTCTGCATCCTCTCACAACACATTACACTGTCCACTTGCTGTGAGAACTTCAATCAGGTGGCTTGTATCCATGATCTGATTCTTTAGCTCCTTGCTCACAGTTCATGAAAGCAGGTTAGGTTGGGAACTAAATGCTCTTAAAACTGAAAGTTTTGCCTCCTTGGAAGTTTCAGATCTGGCAGCTACAGTCCTTCAAAGTTTCCAGAAAACAGTGGAAGCCCTAGAGATGTGTAGCTGTTGATCTCATTTCCATTCTATCACTTGAGAACCAGACAAGGAGGTACTTGAACTTCTCCACCTGTTCCAGTGGGGCTCTCTTAACATAAAAGGTGTACTCTACAGGACTTCTCAAGAGAACCATAACGTGCATTTTGGGGGTGCTCAACTGCATTCTGGTTGCAGTATATTCTAAGTATGCAGCATATTTAACTGGTTGAGCATACTTTGAAGTTCCTGTTGAGAACAGGCCAAAAGGACATCATCAGCATCACCTTTACCTTGCTATTACTGATGCCAGTGGCATGCCCAAGAAGGGGGGGGTTATGGGAGTCATAAATCCCCTTGGGGTACATTCACACTAGGGTTCACACTGACTTTTTTAAATCTTGAGTCCTGGTGCCTAGCTGAAGCTCAGTGAGAATTGGTTCAGGTGGGTTGTCAATGAGTCCCACGGACTTAGATGTTTTGCAAATATGGGTCCCTCCAAGAAAATATGAGTCAGGGACTCGCTATAACAAGTTAACGTGATTCACACTCAAAAAATTTTCAATTTGGCCATAAATGCAGGGTGGGTTACCAATTTTTCATATGTCAACCCCCCCCATTGGGATTTTCTGGGCACACTACTGACCGATGCTGACACATGTGAGGCCCAGGTTATAGCTACAGATCCATCTATGTGAGGGACAGGAAAGGAGAGAGAATGTAACCTTGATGGAGCCCAACAAATATGGGGAACAAGTATGAACTCATCCCATTCACCTGAATGCAGCTCCTGCAATATATAAGGATTGTATGGCCTGCAGTAGCTGACTGCCAATCCCATACTCCTGCAGCACTTCCCACAGATTCCCTTCAGGTGCACTGTCCTATGCCTTTTCAAGATCCACAAAACACGTGTAAACCTTCTTGGTATATTCCCAGCATCTAGAGAATCTAGTGAAGAGTTGGTCTGTACTGCTACACCCCTAATGAAAACAGCACTGTTCTTCTTAGATGCTTTCTCTGATGACAGCATGTGCTCTCTTTTCTAGTACCTTGGCATAGAACTTACCAGGTATGCTGAAGAGAGTGATTCCATAGTAATCAGAACACTCCCTCAATAAAAAGAGAAACCACCACACTGGTCTGCCAATTCATAAACACTGTCCTCTATTCCCAAGTGATTTGACATATCCCTATGCAACCATAAGCACTAATCAGTACCAATGCTTTCAGTGCCTTTGGCCCAATTTTATCCACACCAGGAGACTTTCCATTCTTCAAGCAAACCATCCAACTTTCTCCATGGTTAAACTGTTCTCTGCACAGATAGGCTCCAAGTAGGATACATCAGAGTCTGCTATTTGGTTGGTTTAAGAACTTCTCAAATGTTCCTTCCACTTTCCAAGTATTCCTGTTTCAACAGCCAAGACCATGTTTCAGTCTTTCACAACCTGGAGGGTATGTTGCCTGCCTTGTTGGAGTCTTCAAATGGTTGTTAGCAATGCAGTAGTCATGTTCCAATTCTTTGCTGAATTTATTCCATGCCACTCATTTCACTTTGGCTACGGCTTGAGCAAGTTTTCTCACTCTTCTCTGCAACATGCCCACCTAGAGTCCAATCTACTGGACAAATATGGTCTACAGGATGTTGGTTTGGACATGTCTCTTCTTAGCCACAATGGCCAGTTGTATTTCTGGAATTCACTGGGAAAGCTCTTTGAGGAATGTGAGGTAGTCTGACTCACTGTTCAGTTTGTAAACCTGTGAAGCAGACAAGACCTCAATTTTCTCAAATCTGATGCATATCAGAGCAACTCATTTGCTGATCAGTTTCTTTTTGATCATGCAGTCTGCCAGCCAGGGACTAATGAGTATCCCCACTTCTACCTGGGCAAACATAGATTGGTCTATTCTGCTTCAGTGGATGATCCATCTGTGATCTAGAGCAGGGGTCGGCAACCTATGACCTGTGGGTTGGATCCGGCCTGTGAAGAGATTTCATCTGGTCTGCCAATCATGCCAAGAAAAGAGAAGATTTACATTATATTTCATTTATTATTTTCAAATCCTCATAATCTCTCCTCTGGGCAGATCAGCACCACAATCAATTACACACTCCGACCTGTCATAGGGTCGAGTTGTATCAATCCGGCCTGCAGTTAGTGAAAGGTTGCCCACCCCTGATCTAGAGTGATGGAACTGGTACCTTTCCTCTTGCTTGATACTAGATTGACTACATCTATTCAACATCTACTGGGTGTTTCCATGAGTTCTGGCTATTTACTGACTAATGTAAACACTTTCAAGTCCTGATATATAAAGTCTGGAGCCTAGGTTATTCATCACTTCACTCTGCTTCTGCTCTGCCCTTTAAGGCATTGCAACAAAAATTGGCTATGGCCAGTGGCAGACTGACCAATAGGTCTGGATGCAACATGACAGGGTCCAACACACCCAGAAACATTGGATTGCCTGACCCCTGTAGCCGACTCATCGAAAGTTATCCCAGATGCACAATGACCATTATGATCCTGATTATCCTGGGGAATGACAGATTTAGAATTAAACTCCTGAACTGCATGTGTCAAGCAAGTTTTAATTTGTCTTGGTCATCCTCACTCAGCAGAAACCCCTGCATCATGCTAGGATTTGAAATATTGCAGCATTCTGAACCACTGGAGTCCATCCTTGTGATGCAGATACATGAACCATTGAGGACCGAGTCTTAGAGCTGGAAAATATCTACTGTTTCAATTGAAAAAAAAACTCATGCCATAAACATGCTACATTCTTGCTTGTGTGCAGAGCATATTATTTTCCATCCACACTTCTATTCATCCATATATCTGAAAGTGTGGGATAAACTTTTCCACCTTCACATGAACTAGGTTCAGGAAGATGAAGGCCACTGCTCCATAAAAGACAGGACAGCAATCATAGAACTAGAACCCACCTGAGGCAGAGGAGTTGATCCAGTGACGAGAGCATTTTGACGCATGATGTCTTTAGGCCTGGGTCCAAGGTAAAAGAAGACATCAATGATTCCACTCTCAGAGATCCAATGTGTATTCACACCATCAGTTGATCCACCAGAAACAAAATTGAGGATTGATCCTGATTGCTTTTCTACATCGATCCAAGTCTCTGCTGCATTCAGCCACAGAATACCCACAGTTCTTGCATCTCTATGAGAATGTTAGACAAATATGCATTTTAACAGGGTTATACATTTTTCATTTTTAAAACATACTCAGAAAGCTTCTGGTTTATGTGCTATTTCCATCTTTGCAATGAGTTCCTTCCTGTCTGTTTTAAGCAGCTTCAGCTTCTAACAACCAGACCTTTGCAAAGAAAGGAGAGCCCTTTAAATTCTGAAGGAGTAGTCTGAGGGAGTAGCTACGGACAGGTCAGGATAGTTTATTTTTTTAAGTGTTAAAATTTAGAATATCCTCAGTTTTGGAGCAAACATGCAGGTTCCCTGGTTCTATTCCCACTTCAAGTTTTTCAAGAATTGGCACAAAATCTGTGAGGGAGAAACACATTGCAAAACATTGATGCACAAAATGTAATGTGCTCTTTTTATCAGCTGCTGTTGCTACCACTTAATACATTAACTGCTAAGGGGATAAAATACTGGTCTTCCCTGTGACACTATATGACACCCTGGCATTTCACATGGCAATTAATGTGTTAAATGGTGGCTTGTGGCCACTGCAGCTGTTTTCATTGAGGTAGCCATTTTGTTCATGGTGAAACTAAAATTTCACAAAGTCATGAAATATGAATTTGAATCTGCTAAACAATAATTGTTTTATGAATGTATCAAGGCTTACACAAATCATGAACCAGGAGTCTGATTTACAGCATTATGAAATCATAATTCACCACATACCATGTTTTGTACTGAAGGGTTTCGGATTTCTAGTAATTCACCACATCTACCAAATGTTTGAATGTCATAAATATCCTGGTATGCAAAGCTTCTAATGGATGAGCTGGACCAAAGTGAAAAAATCATGAGGATTGCTGACTCCAAAAAAATGTTAATGAGTACTATGAAAGTTTTGCATTTTTATACTGCTGGGAATGGCAGAAACTTGGGCTCCCTGACACAGCCTTTGAGGGAGACTGAAATGAAATATGTAATGGTTCTTCTGGACTAGACTCAAGCTAAAAATATACACAAAACTTCAGTTAGATATGAGTTGGTTTCTCTATGGATTGACTCTTAATGCCTGACAGAAGGAGTCATGTTAAGCTCACCCATGAGCAAGCATGAAGGGAATTGAGCCATACAAAGCCATCTGATTCCAAACTTCATATTCAAAGACATCCAAGTTGTAGAGACGGTATGGATCCTCTTTCCTGAAAATAAAAAGAAACATATTATTGCTCTCCAGTAGATGTGGATTTGCTACATGGGAATACTTTAGGAGGTGATACAAAAAAGAGAAACAGATACATGATATTTAAAAAATATGAATATGATTATTTTCTTTTCACATAACTTTTACATGATTTGAAAAGTGTTGGCATCTTCTACAAGCATATGGGAAGGATAAAAAATTTCAGATTCAAGCAACAAGAGCATTTTTCTCCATCTGAGTGACTGAACCTCTTTTAATATTCATAAAAAACTAAAATATGTGAGTATCCCCTAAGTGGCCTAATGACTTCCTAATTGAAATTATAAAAAGAATGTACTTTTCAAGACAATTTCAAAATATCAAGTACCATCAAACACATGGTAAACACTTCAGCAGTATCATCCAAAATAACATTAGTATAAATAATTCACATTATTAACAAGGCAAAGCTTTCTAAGAAACTGAAACTGCCATGACCTTTTTTACTGCAAGTAAACCAAAAGACATATCAATTTGATATTTTCACCATACATGGAGGAGTAATACTACTTTACAATGATAACACTACACACATTTTGATGACCAAAGAATCACTCAGAAACTTTCATTTGCATGATAAATGTGGAAGCACAGAATTTTGCACAATAATGCACAATGATGCATCATTGTCTGCAAAGTGTAGAAACTTAGAAATCTGCTGAAATCATCTAAGCAACATATGTCACCCATACCACGGAGTGTAAAATATTTCCAGAGTGGACCAGAAGTCCTCAATTTCAGGGCATTTATCTATGCCTGTCATGAAGACAAAGCCAAGGGAATGATCATATGATCATTCCCTAGGCTTTGTCTTCATGACAGTCATATAAATGATCAATGGGGTACATCATTGTTGCTATCACTATCGGCTGCTACTTCTCCAGAAATTTTGTCCTCAGTTATCACACAAATCACCTTCACAGATGCCATATTGGGTATTGGGCCAAAAAAAAGCTCAGCTTCTTTTGTCCTTTTCTGTTGTTGACAGTGAAAATATATATCCAATATTTCTGCCTGAGATCAAGAGACACTATATATTGATCTATTGCCAAGTTCTTGCAGTTGAGAACTTTTCTGTTAAATGGCAAGAGCATCCAGAATAGAGTCCTGCACAAAACCCCAAAGTACGCCCATGCTAGGTAAAGTTTGAGTTATGCTGAATGTAAAAATACATCAGCACCAGGGAATGAGTTAGGTTTCAGGAGGCATGAGGTTTCAAAAGAAAGCCAATTTATTAGGCTAAGTCCTCACCTGGTATTCCTCAAGGGTAAATGATCTCCATGTTCAGGTAATCCATAGACCTCTTGAGCTTTGGGGAAAAGGAAGTCCATGGCAACTGCAGTGGGGCCATTTGGCTTGGAATCCTTATGACCCCCAAAACTTTCTTCCCACATGCCTTCTCTTTCTTCTTCTTCTTCTTCCCCTTTCATTTTCTCTCCTTCACCTTCCACTTCAATTTTCTTGTCACTTTCTCCATCTAGGACTTCTTCATGTTCATTTTCTTTCTTTTCTCCATCTCCTTCTGTCTCAGATGGGTTCTGTACTTCATCTTCACTCCCTGACTTTCTGCAACAGTTGGGTAGGATCATACAAATGACTTTTTTATGCAAATATTTATTTCATGATGCAATAGAATGAGCTACAAAAATTACACGAACACAACAGAACAAGGAATTGAAGGGATAGGAAGAACACCTAACAATAAAAATGGAACAAAACATCACCTATGCATTTTGTCGCCGCCACTAGTTTCCAGACTTTTGCTGAGATACCAATAATTCTTAAGCAATATACTGAGAGGACCAAAACACCGGGACCCTTCCCTATTGGCCATGTCTCTTCCAGCCATAAAGGACAGTTTCATGACAAATGAACACTATGGCAACATACAGGAAAGCTAATTTAAACTCTCCTTGAGAGCTTAAATGAGAGAGAAAAAGGGTTTGCAGAGCACTGCAAACCCTTTCTTCACAAGGACCTTTTTTTTAAAGGATGATTCCAATTCAAAATAAATTTGGATTAGGGTTCTACAAATTAGACACCTGACAAAAATCAAATACCACACATGCTCCTACATGCATGCATGCATGCTCATACACTGGTGCCCCTTTTCCGAGACACTCTTTCAGCAGCCCTGTAGGATCAAGAAAGCCATTTCTTCACTTCCCCTGGAACTAGAGATCAGGCTTCTAAACATCAGACTTCTTCAAAGTGCCTTCTAAAATACCAGACTTACAAAGACCTTGAAGTTTGATTGAGGCAAACAATAATATGCTAAAGTAGTGCCATGCTATGAAATCTAAAGCTAACAATATGAAATAAATATGATTTCTTCCTTTAGGGGCATAGTGGCAAACAGGAGGGGAGTGAACAAAAAGTAGATAATAAAAAATTGTGAATGTAAATTTAGATCCTGTGAATCAGGTGAGTTTCTAATAACCATGAAATTTTCACCAAGCAGAGAAAAAGGGTTTTACAGAATATTTAAGAAAATAATATACTGAGTGTAACAAAAGTAAATTCACAATTTTGATGCTGGTGAAGAGGATTGAGTAACCACCAAGGTCCCCCTTACTTGACCCTGATGGATTTCTTTCTACAGGGATTTTTGAAAGATCAGGTCTACAGCAAATAAACATGAACTATCAAAGCACTGAAACTAGAAATTGTGATTGCCCAAATTTCACAGGTTTTGTGCTCAAAAGTTTGTCAGTCATTGCTATTCAGACTATAGAAGTGCTTTGAAGATGGTGGGGAGCAAGAGGAGCAGTAATGAAGTCTCATCTCTGTGAGAGCGAAACTTCAAAATGTTTACTTTATTTTGGTGTTTACAACTCTTTTGAGCTTGTAATTATAAAATAAAGAGTATTAAAATAGTGAAGTTACTTCTGTTACACTCATATTTGTATGTATTCAACATGCTGAAACATTGCAAACCTCTGAAAGAACAAATTAACAAAGTCAAAGAATCTATATGTCTTTTTGTAACAAATTTCATCTTTCATACATTTGGAAGATTATTAATAAAGTGATTTTCAGATTTTTGTTTCTTTTTGAAGGTGCTATTCTGGAACCTTTCATGGGATCTCTCTGCATAACCTCAAAGATCATGAATCTAAGGATGGCAACAAATCCTTGCAGGATGAAGACCTGCTTTCACTTTACAATAGTTGGTAGGACTCTCTCATCAAACATAAACCTGCAGAAGTTAGTAGCAGATGACACCCTAGATGTAATCTAAATTCATTCTGTGAATAAATTTTCACTCCATAGTTAAATTCCACTTATCTTTTTGCTCAATACAAGGTTAGTGTTAGGAGTGGAGCATGCAAATAGGTCAACATGGATGCATGGCACAAGAGGCATACATGGAATACAGGTTGAGGAATGAAACTTTGGATCAGTGGATGAATGCAGGGCAAAGCCTAGGCTACTTTAATCCAGAATCATGTCCACAGACAAGGCATGGAGGGTTGATATTGTCTGGGCTTTGCCCTCTATTCATCAAGTGGCGCCTTAACCCTTTTGGTACTGGGTTTTTAAATGCTTAGCTGGCCTACAGTGGCACCCATATGGCTGAAAGGGTTAAGGTAACAGGGAAGTGTAATGTTGATGACAATACACTTATGGGGAGTCTTGTAGGATGGCATGAAAGAGAGGGCAAAAGGAACACCACGGAACACTCAGGAATCACTATCTAACCTAGGCCTTTGGATTGCTCACCAGTTCTGCTACCACTGCACTGCCAAACCCAAAAATATTTGGTAACTCCTCTCCATGCTATCCTTATCCGTGCACTTCTTACCACTCTCATTACTAAAAGATTACTAAACAGTCAACCCAAACAGACCTGAATTAAACCTCATGAATATTGCAAGGTATATAAAATGAAGACTTGAAAGTCACTTTTCAGTATACATATTATGCATTTCATCACTTGAAGGATTAGCATATTTTTAAAGTCCTCTAATGTGTCCTGTGAAAACTAGTATGTTGAATCTCTCAAGAGGAAACATACAAGACACCTTAGAGAGCAACAAATGTGGATATTGAAGCAACCAGTTAGAACAATGTAATGGAGGTTCACTAATGGATGTATAATGTTGCACTAATGAAGGTAGTTTCAGGAATACAGGAAGTTTCAGCAAAAATGGCAGGGCAAGGTGTTAGAGATGAAGCATAAGAAGCTCTCACCTCCCAGTCCCAACCCAATTCCCCATCTTCTCCCATACAGAATGCACCCAACCTTGGCTTTTCGTGCCACTGCAATGATAGGAAAATTTGCAAGATACATAAAGATACTTGGATTAAGAGAAGCAAAGAACATAGCCCCATACATCCCCTTCCATAAGTCTTGACCAGTTTCTACTCTCTGCAAGTCACAATAAGACAGATAAAGACTTGTCAAAAGTACTACTTCAGAAACACTATTGAAAGAATGGAATCATATTGTAGGATAAAACACCATTCCCATATGTATAGTGGTTCCACTAAGGATTGGGTTTCTTGCTCATACTAAGTTGGATGGCTAATCTAAGGCCTTAACTCACTTGTGATAGGATTATAAAATGCCTTACTATTCAAAAGGGTCAACTCCATTGAAAATTAACTTTCCATTATGAAATAGGCGAATTTGCTAATGTTGTAACGTTTGCCACATATATATTTTACACCTGAATTTCTATCCCTACAGGTGCCTCCATCCAATATATTCTTGCTCAGGAGTCTGACGTGTCTGGGTGAAAAGGATACAAGCTCTTCATGATAAAAATGCATTGAAGTACCTGTACAGTGTGCCCAGAGTGAATTGTCACATTGTGAATTGGCACATAAGGTCACTGGCATGTATTTGACCAACAGGGTATACCAATAACAGTACAAACATTACATTGGCACACATGGACTCCCCACACCAGCATCAGGACCAGTGTGGGAGGGGCCCATGATTCCAATATATGATCTCCAAGCATTGATGATCCAATTACATTGAACCTGCTTATCAATAGCCACTTTGCCTTAATTTCATATCATCCACTTCTCTTGGCATCTCCCAGGCCCCAAATACAGGCAGATACAGTTGACACAACCACCTTCTCCCCCTCACAATTTTTCTACTCAACACAGGATACTCTCACATTGGGCCTGATGCTGGTGCAGGGAATCCAGATGTGTCAGTAATGTTTGTCCCGCTGTGGAGGGGTCCTGTTGGTCAGGGACATACTGAGAGTCATACTTGCCCATTTAGAAAGGGATTTTCTGGCCACCCAGTAAACCATACATTGCTAATATGCTCACTGCTTCATATGCACAACACAGTTACATACATTACATGTGTTCCACATGCTTTCCTTCATTTTCAATATAGGAAAGCACATGGCAGGTTATTTAATAATAATCATTGATATTGATTTATATATTTCAAGATCTGATGGTGTCAATGATACACTGCTGAAGTTCTCCTGCAGGCATGCAGTTTGGCAAGCACATCACTTAGTGATGTGCTTGCACAAATCCCCAGGAATATAAATCAAAAGACATTAAGTCAGGTGACTAAGGTGGCAAGGCAATGCATATGGTATAGCAAATGTGTACACAAGGTGGTCCAAAAAATCTTGGACCCCAAGGCTATCAATGACATTTACAATACCAATGGATGAAATAAAATTTTATTACAGGTGAAAATACATAGAGCATTGCTTGTAAAAAAAAAAAAATCCTAATTTAGTTTGAGCAATAAATCTCCAGCAATTATAGCAAATTTTCAAAGTGGCCCTCATCTTGATCAATGCTCATCACAACTCACCATCTGAACAGATCGATCACTCTATTTCAGCTTGATCCAGGAGTTGCCTAGCTTCATTAACATGCTCGATGAGGTAGTTTTCATTCCAAATGGCCTCAGTATACATGTGCTGACACATTCTTTTCTTACATAATAAACCTCCAATAAGGAATGCAATTTTTTAAGTATCCCTGACTTTGTGTGACTTGACATTTGGTCCACAAATTGACCTGACTTCAATTTGGTGGATTATTATGTAAGGAAAGATTGTGTAAGCATGTGTATACTGAGGCCATTTGGGATGAAAACCACCTCATCAGGATGTTAATGAAGTTTGGCAATTCCAGGATCAAGCTAAAATAAACAGAGCAATTGATTTATTCAGATGGTAAGTTGTGATGTGCATTGATCAAGATGGGGGCCACTATGAAAATTTGCTGTAATTGCTGGAGATTTATTGCTCAAACTACATTGGCATTTTCTACATGAAGCAATACTCTACATATAGTTTCATCTGTAATAAAATTGGATTTCATGCAGTTGTATTGCCAATTTCATTGATACTCTTAGGGTCCAAGATTTTTTGGACCACCCTGTATATGAAGCAAATGGGTACATAATTACTGAGCACACTGTACTTAAACCAAACCGATTCCAAAAACCTTCCTTCTCTCCCCTCCTCAGACCTAAAAAAGAAATGCACCCAAATAGTCTTCTGAGGCATAAAGATCTATAAATTCCACTTATTAAATTTCTTATATTAGCACTTGAACACTTTTTGTCCCATGCCCATTGTAGTAAGGGAAAATTTAGAAGGGCATTTAAATCACCAGGGTTGAATGTGTTAACCTTTAGTGATCCAATATTACACCAAGCAAGACATTGCGCATTAACACTTCTACTCCACCATTGCAGCTGATATGTCATCTAATATTGCCACAATTTTCACCTTTTGGAAAGTAGTTTCAGTTTTACATTACATCACCATATGGAGCCCATTAGTTCAACTAAATTTCTGCTGAATATAGCTCTATAGCACAATTTGATTGTGCTATAGAGCTACTCACTTTGAGCTGGAATACAAAGGGTTATGCTCTATAACCCCTGGTCCACATAAAGGGCTGACAAGCAAATACAGCACAGTATCCTCTACCCAACTTAACATTGTCATTGTGCCAAACATTTGCTATCACACTATAGATGATGACTAGATTTTTAGAATGCATATCTTGTAATAATTATTTTTAAGCAGAGGATTAAAGGATGCCAGATAGGCAATAGGCAGAGAGGGGATAGACTTCATGCTGCATACCATGAGTGGCCCTCCTCATGATAAATGGATGCAGACTGACAAGGAATTCATGCAAGTGCTTCTTCAGGCTACTAAAGTGATTTGTGCAGCCATCTGTGCAAGTGCAACCTAATTTGAAAACTTGAACTATTGAACTTGAACACCATGCATCAATTGAAGTGGATATTTTATATTTTCCCATTTAAAAGTACCTTGGATGAATTTTTATATGAAATATAAATATTCATATAATTCATATAAAAATTCTAAATTCTAAATATTGTATAAATATTCTTATCTTACAATTCTATGGAATTGTAAATTATGAATATGTCTTCTGCTTTGACACATTTTAATAACAAGTAACAGCAGAATTCAAATAAAATAAAAAATACAAAAATTTCCACTTCAATTGATGCACAGTGTAACTTTTAAAATGTAATTCTGGCTATTTTTCCCTTCTCCCCATGTAGCTGTGGTCTCACAAGGCCCATGTCCTGCCATTATAGATACTAGTGAATGAAAAAAAGGTGTAAAAAAAAATAGAACTTCATAGAAAAATTAATTTTCAGATAACAGCTAAAGTCCATCATGAGGGTGCTGAAATTAAGTGTCACCAGGACAAGGGAAAGATATGGAGCCAGCAACCAATTCAGTACACGTGTATCACCATACTTCCAGGCATGCACTCTTCCTGAGGAATGATGGACATAAAGGGATGGAGGAAGAATGGCTGAGGAATACACAAGCTCTATGACTTTTCTTGGCTTTACACTGAAATTCAACAATATGCATGATTCACTACTACCATGATAGACATCAAGCAAAGGTTTGGCAAAAGTTGAAACCTTGGATATAGCTTTCTAAGCTTCTTCATTATAAAATAAGCTTCCCTCTTACAGAAAGAAGTCACATTGACAGCTAGTCTAACAAAACACAAGAGGTTTATCCTTCATTAGACGGATTTAAATCTCCCGTCTAAGTGCTGATAGCCAGATATTTTCTATGAAGCTTGTAAACAATTGCTAACTGAGCAATTATTCACTTAATATCAGAGCATTTTTCTGAAAAGTTGCAGAACAGCATTTGTACCTTTAGGCCATGGGGAAATGCATTCTGTGGCACAGCAGTTGTGACATTCGTCTGATAAAGGTTAAGAAGGCCTAGGATACATATCACTAGACTCAGAACTTGGGATATTTTTGTTTTGCTACTACAGAGGCAATAGCCTCTTCCCTGGATTATGACAATGCATTGGAAAAGGAATGCAATGTCCTTGAATTGTAGCTGCTTGCACTGTAGGTGTTCCCCAGCTGAAGTAGAAGAAACATGGAAACATCTCAGTATTTACAGTCTAATTTATATTTTCTGTTCCATTGATGTAAGTTCTCCATTTCTTAACCTAGCTAGCAATTAATCTTTGAGCCCTCTGTTTAACCTTTCAGGTGATTATGGAGTATATATCCACCCATGCTTAACTGGTCCACATTTGCTTATGGTGTATATACACTGTCCCAAAAAAAATGTTGGGACATTTTTCCAAATTGCAGCTACTCATAATTGTTCAGACTATGGCCATGCATGTTAGAGGGCTGACTAATGCATCAAAGAAACATATGCATGCAAAGTTATAACAAAATCCATTCACTGGTTCTATAAATATAGGAGATCATTTAGTATAACAATTTAGCACAACAGCAGTAAGGGAGTGTGGCAGGAACTGTTCTTGTGCCTGCTTTAAAATTCAGTTTTGTGCCTCATACAGGATTGTTGAAATGATGTGTATGACCAAGAAAATAAGTGCAATGTTATTACATGTTTCACATTCAGAAAAGGTGCTGAAAGTGCCCACCATCAATCTGTGCATAGGCACGACAGTGGCAAAAAATGAGACACTGAGTGGATCACTCTCTCTTGCAACAGGGAACAGTGAGTTCCCTTTCCAGCTGGGTATGCTCAGGCCAAGTATGGCCAGCTGCACTTACAGAATAAGTCAATGGATTTTGATATAACTTTACATGTATATGTTCATTTGATGTATTAGTCAGCTCTCAAATGCACACAACCGTAGTCTGAACCAATTACAAGGAACTACAAATTGAAAAATATTCCAAAATTTTTTGGGACAGAGCTTCCTTCAAATAAAATTCCAATAAATAAATAAATAAATAATTTTTTTTATTATAAAAAGGAATTCAATATTGAACATTCCAAAAAACCTAAAAATAAAGGTATACAGGAATAATAATGGCAAAAAGGAAAAAACCAAGCAGTTGAGCGGCTAAGCAGGATTCTAATGTGAATCATATGGATGCAGGACATTGCTAAGTGTCTGCTTACCCTGAGCAAATAAGAGGGATCAAGAACTTTGGTGGTTCTCTCCAAGACAGATGAGAGCTCCTGAATACAGCTAATTCATACAGACACATATATAGATAAATTTACCAAAAGAGACATAAATCCCATGGAGCATAACAGTGGAATGATCATTACAAATGAAACCTCCCTCAGATTCAAGAGACTAATTTCCTGCAACATCCAAAAGTTTCACATTTTGAATGATGCACATTCTTGATGCACATTGAGAACTCTTAGTTGATCAGTGTGCCCTTCAGCTTTTACACCATCTTTAACCAGCATGATCATGCTTGAATGCTAAGACTGGATCACTTTGGAGTCATCATGAAGGCCTTTTAGTAATATTCACAAAACCCTTTTCCTTTAGTAATATTCACAAAACCCTTTTCCTTTAGTAATATTCACAAAACCCTTTTCCTAAGGCATTCTGACTTAAACAGTGCCATCTCTTACAGTATGACACATGAATTCATCATTGAAAAAACTTCATGAACTAGGCAATTACAAAATGGAATCAGAGATTTTTCCTTATGCACTCATGTCTATTGTGAAAGTGATGCTCAGGATGATGAGCATCATAGGTGGGCATGATTCATCATAGGTGGCAAAGAGGGTGTTACATGAGATCTTCTCTCCTGAAAACACCAGTTTATCAGCAGCACTTAATGAGGATGAGTCACAGTCATCACATATACGTAACTGCCTAAATTAGTCATTTTTCTGCTGTCTGTGGGTGGAGTGGTGGAACTACTAACACATTGGGCTCCTAGTAGACTTACAAAGGACCATCGTTGCTTGTGAATCAGCCACACGCTAACAAGAAACTTGCATATTTGGTCACCATTTATTTTTTCCCTTGGGTTGTTTTCAATTAAGTTGAAACTAGATCACATTATTCTTGATGCATTCAGACAGATAGAGAAATCAGATTGTTAAGAGATTTCTCACAATGAGGAAGAAATGTCATCATCAGAATCAATCAAGTTCTGTTGAAACATCCTTTTCATCAAGAGCTTTAGGCTGACACAATTATGACTAATTAGCTATACTTGTGTACTAGTAGCCTGGGCTACATTTCAATGACCTATAAAGCTGTGAAATAGTAAGTATGGCTGCTCTGAGCAATAGCATTGGTCTGCCAGTCTGAATGTTTTCACAATCCCTGTGGTCTATATGCAACTCAATTGAGCACAGCCCAGAAAAGAAAGAAAAGCATGCACATTTACACTGCCACATTTCAAATATCCATACTTCCACTGCCATACAGTAGCTGATATGCAAACTGACACATCTACAGAAGGCTAAATGTACAAGTAGTTGTGTCACGCTACCCCAACCACAGATGTTCCAGATGAAAACTTACTTATGGATGCAGTTAAAAAACAATTCAGATTTGTAGGACCCATCCTCTGTGTGCTAATACTCTTAAAAATTCTCCTATCTCATGAGAAATCTGTTGTACAAGTAACATGCTAAACAGAGCCTGATTTTCTGCTTTTCATTGCTCAGTCTCTCTTTGCCAGTTCTTTTCTTTATTTTTCTCTGCTCTCAAGAGCCTCATTCCATATATTGAGTCAGGCTAAGATCATTATATCAGACTGACTTTGATAACAACATCTGACACCCAAGTTCAATGGGAACACTATTTTCCAGGAATTTATTTTCACATGATCCCAATTATATCAATAAAACAACAAATGAGTTCTAATGCATGATATAAGATTAATCATGGCATTCTTCATAATCTATAAAAATGGATAATAATCCATGTCTCTTCTAACTTCAAAACAATAAATAAGTTATTGCATTCAATTTTGGATACCTGCAAAAAACTGTGAACTAACAGTGCTTGACAGAGTTTAGAGGTTAGCTATGAAAATGATAAAAGAAGTATGAGGACTTTCATATGAAAAGCATTTCCACATGTAAGAACTCATCTCAAATGAGATGAGTCTCTATGAGCTTTTATTTTGAAAATCAAATGCCATTGAAATAACAAATGGAATGAAAGTTTTCAGTATAGTTTCTGAAGTCATTTTTCACACTCGATGAAGATATATGAGCATGTAAGACAAGGTATGTTTCATACCTGATCATGATCATGAAAAATCAGATACCCAAACAAACATGCTGATCCAAATCTTTGATATGCATGCCTTTTGTTAAATTCACGTCAGGCACTGTTTTATATTATCATATAGTGATTGCTTCCATCAAGAAGTATTATCAGATATATCATCTCATGTGTCTATTTATCAAAACATGATTCTTCCACAAGGGATTCCAGTATACTTCAGAATGTAAATTATCTCTTCCCTGAAAGGCTTGATGTTGAAACATCTTAGAAAATTAGACTTTTATTGTGCCTGAACCCATCCCTCTTGGATTTTTTACTATTATGGGGCTATGTCAAGGACACTGTCAACTTTTCTTGCATAAGAACTTGCGTAAGCAATCTTCAATCTGATTTGAAGAACAGAATTGATGCAGCTATCCAGACAGTTATACATGACACTGCGTAAGTTGCGGTAGGAGCTTGATTATAGTTTGGACGTCTACAGAGCCACAAATAGTGCCCATATGGAATTGCAATAGCAGGTTGAAAAATGTTTGAGTTGCACTTCATTTTACTGTTTTCATAATTTTATTTGAGGCATAATTTAGAGAGATATTAATTTTTTAAATGTTTCCATACCTTTTGGGACACCATGTATTGAATGTCTGCAACTGGGTCTAAAAGATCCAGGGGTATTTTTGGTTTACCATACTGACTCATTGGTCTGCTGACCTGTCTGTCTGATTGGATGAAAGATCAGATTGTTCAATAGTTTTAGAGCTGGCAAATAGATGAATGCAAGGGGAAGGGTTTAAGACTGGGTTGAGAAAGATGGAAAGGTCCAGATACTCTCATTGCATGAAGGAGGCAATGGAAAGGACAAGTGCCCTTCTTCATTTTGGAATGAACAGAGAAGTAAAATCTATTTTCCTATATAGTTATGCTTTTGTAGATTCTCAAGAAAGACACACCAAGAATATGGGATAGTTACAGTTGCCGTGAAGATTGTCCTCCAGCACTTATTGCAACAAATCTTCAGAAATCACAATGACAGACAGCTGTTTTGCCAATGCCCAATGACTCAACCCCATTGGCAATGTGTTTCTGCTCAATTGATAGTTGCACAGGTGAACAAACCATGCTTGGCTCCAGTTTGCTGAAAGCCTCAGGAGCAGAAATCACAACCATAATATGGACAGGTGTATAAAGGCCCTAAATTTTTTACTTTAGGAAAAGGTTTGAATGCATCATAGCCTACTAAATGCTGGCATTTTCTGTTTTTTGAGTAGTAGCAGATATGGTGTCCAACTCCATCAGGAATGAGTGATACTGAAGTACTGCAACTTGACTATCCCAGGCCACTTAGTAGCAAAGAACAATGCATACCTTATGGGTACTCTGCTCATGGAGAAGAGCATGCAGAGGTAGGCATAAATTCAGAGTGATTCCAGCTGTCACAGATAGAATCTGTGGCAGCTGGAATGCACACTGATGGCAGGACATATGTGGAATTCCCTTCAACATAAGTCTGTATGATGTGACTCAACAGACGACCCACCTGCATGTTACACTTCCATGAGCCTTGCTTTGGCAGGGGTTGGACTTTTATAAGACATCAGGATGACAGAGTAAGAGAGTCCAGACCCCTGCCCTTGGCTCTTATTTCAGCACTCATTGAACAATATTCCAAGGACCTGGTCAAGACTTCTGGAAGGGGCTGCATCCTTACAGTTAAATCAGAAAATGACGATAATCACTCACGATTCAGAGGATGACTTGGGATGTTCCCTTGTGTGCTCAAAATTGAAGAGACCTCTAGCATTTGCTATGATGACAGGCTCACCACCTGCCAGCAACTCAATCTTGAAAGGCTTCACATATAAATGAACCTCACTTTCTGGATACTCCTTCAGGGTAAACTTCACAACATCTGCATTCTTCTGCAGTAGTTGCAGGCTGGAGCAGGGAAAATAAAGGATTAAAATTACACACAAAAGTTTATCACTTCATAAAGGCAACTGACATATGGGGAAGGCTTTCACACAATATGAACATGAGGGAGGAGCAAAATTAGATGGAAAAAACTCTTAAATAAATACACAATAAGGTTAACATGACAAGAAAACTATTTTTGTTAATAAAAAAAAATCATTAAGCATTTTCCAATTAAGAAACCAATTTCAAACGAGTGAAATGCAGCTATATGTTTTCCTTGTATATGGTGTGAGGGAAAAGTTCTCACATGAGAAATATCAAGAGTCCCTAAAGTCACTGCTGCCTTCATAACCTGCTCATGAAAATCTTCTTTCCTCTGTTTTTTTATATTTTCACACCATATTCAGTCCATGTTATACATGACAAGAGTCCCACTATGTAGTAAGGCTCAAAACAGAAAAATCACTGGCATGACCATACATGGAAATTTGGAGCAAAATACAGAAAATTGAAGCATAATTATCCCTTATTCAAACACTTTCTAGATAGTCATATTTGTCTGCCTTGGGGCTTATAGATCCACTTGTGAAGAATCACTCTTTCTTTCTTTACTTTTTGAATTCTAAAAATACAAAAAAATGGTGATACATTGAACTTTTCCCACTGCAAGCAGAATGCATCCACTACTGTGGGTCACCCCCTAGTTCTAGCTAATGAATAATCACTTACTAATATAGGCATAATATATTTATTAGTCTCATTGTGTACCTCTTTCTCCCACCAATGAACTTCGAGATTCCCTCAGCTCAAGTCAAATAGTCATATGACTGTTCACATCTAACATCAACTTGAACTCCATTATAACCCAATTTTAAAAAAGGAGAGTCAAAGTGTTCTACTGCTCCCATGGCAGGTATGTCTTGAATTTAACAGTGAGGCACTATACCATTAATCCAGAGAAAATTTCAAACTTTGAACCTTGATAAACTTCATATACCATGTTAATATTGGACAAAAAAGCAAAGGAAGCACTACTGTCACAGTATTATGTTATATTTTTCCAGAGAGAAAAAAAATTTCATCTCATCAGTGCTGTGAAAACCGCTGAAAGATCTTTTGGGTGCAATAGAAGTCAAGCAAGTCATCATATTCATGCAGACCCCATGAATGAAAAGACAATGAAGCTTAGAAATACAGCCAAAATGCTTTAGGCCTTTGGCCTTGAAATATGAATCATTAGCTGATTAAGGCAAGGAAGGAATAAATACCTGCTCTGTGCAGGAGTTCCATTGAGAACTGGGAAGAGATCAACTTCAAATCGGGGTTGAAGAGGAGCCTTCTCAGTGATTTTCATGCGGAGAGAATTATCCTTTAAGGCATTTACTTCAAGCTGGAAAACTCTTCCTGTTTTTGTGTTCAGCAGTTCCACGAGGAAACCTGGATCATCAACCCTCAGAGTCTCCAGCAAAGTATGATAGGCAGACTCTCCAGGTGACAGCTCACGGTTTCGCCTTAGGATAAAATGATGAAATTTACATTATGAAACAATGTCATTACATATAGCAACTTGGTCCTAAGCACTATCATCACAGATGTCAGCCTTTTGTCAGCTAGTTAGTACTGATAACTAAAACAATTCTGCATTTCACTTCCACCAGCACTGGGCCTGAAAATGTTGATAGAGCTTAAGTGAATAATATGCTGCATCATAAACCATATGAAGAATTGCTGAAACTCAATCAACCTTTATTGCCAGTTTCATTGTAATTTCTTCTGAGAGCTGGTTTTTTTCTTGTTGTAATAGTATTGTATTGATCCTTTGTGGTCTATTATTTAAGAATACTATGACTAATGGCCCATCCAGTGGGATGAAGGACCACAAAGAATTAATGTCCTTAGCTGGACAGTTCATGAAATTCAGGATATTATGCCCAAGAGTGCAATAGCATATATCTGTATAAAGAATGCCCTACTAATTACATAATACTATTACTAACCTTCTCAAGGTGCTTGTTCCAAATCAATAAGGTGCAGTTTAAAGCTGAGAAATTTTAAGGCATAAAAATGTTAAAATTGCCAGTAGAGAAGACTTAACCCCTTACTGCATGGTGTTCCAGATATGGCACATACAAGAATATTTCTTTATATAAAATTGCTGAATATCACAATGTGGCAAATGGGGAATTTCTGAAACATCCTTGATGTTCCTGATGGACAATAAAATTAAAAACTTTTTAAATGCATGTTTGTTAACAAATGGAACCATATTGAAGATACCATGTCAGTACCATACTTTTTGTTTATTTTGAAGCAAGCTTCTCAATTTTTTAACCACTACATTTCATGTCTAAAAAACTTCATCACGCATTACTTGTCTCATAAATTCATTTCACATCTTTGTCTGAGGTTTCACAAATAATACCTATTGCAATTTTTCTTTTCTTGCAAATTTATTCTATTTTGACAAAAACCCATAACTGCATTAAAACCACCAAACTTGGACAATTTGATGAAAAATATCTTACTTTAGTACCTTTAAGGATATTTATGCAAAATTTGATATTTTTTCTCTGAGGCTTTCATTATATCATGCACTAAGGGGTTAACTATGAAAACTTTGTGGAACTCTAGCTCCATATCAGCACATTCCACAGCATCAACATATATACAGCCAACGATTTCTGAATTTGTTGCATTCCTATAAACTATCATTTGAATATTCAAGAAAGTCTGGTGAATTGGAAACATCAAGGAAACCCGAAACAAGCTGACTTTTCATAAGTCATCAATTAACACAGGATTCAAAACTTGCCTTCAACTGCCTATGGAAAGCATGGTTAGCAAGACAAATTACTTCATGCATACTACCATTATAAGTGCCTAAGAGAAGTTCTTATCACATTTACCCTGAATAACCTTTAATTGGGAATAGTCAAGTGGTTTAGGAAGCAAGTAGTTCCATTTACTGGATGATCAAAGTGATAATATGGAGCTCACAAAGAGGAAAGGGAAAAGAATCATCTCATTCAAGAAGGGTTGAGGTGACAAGTTACCTTCAGTCACATCTTCTCAGGACAACTTAGCACCAAATACACAAAAACAGGATTTTAAATATGATTAATGCAAGAATTATCTCCTTGCACAATCATGCACAGAAATAAATACATTGATTGATTAATGGAATAGGGAATTATGATGCATAAAAAGATAGGAAAGAAGTCAATCTGGCTAAGTAATTCCAATTCACTGAAAAGAAAGCCTTGTTTGTATTATAGGAAATTATTTCCCAGTTCCCCTTCACAAACCTCAAGGAACTCCCTGATTTTTTATCAAGTTTTCACATCATTGTCTGATGAGGGCCAAATTGACAAACCATGATACAAAAAAAGCCTGAAAGGAGAAGGGGGGAAAATTTATTTCAGCACAAGACTATACAGTTTTGTAGCATCAAGGAATGTGCTAGGAGGGAAACAGACCATAAGGAAACTAACAATTTGAAGCATTAAATATTAGGAAATGATTGGCAGGTTACTGGGCAGGAGTCAAGGGAGACATCAGAGACAAGACATAAGACTGTCAATCTAGCTTTGTTGTACAAGTTAAAATATGAGAAACCAATTTAAACCTTGATTTGAAGGAATAGTTGTAAGAACATGAATCTTTGCCAAAGGAGGCTCAGTACACCACCAGCTGAGTTTTAGTCCACAATCCAGGATCATAAAACACTTGAATATATTCCTGGACCTGCTCAAGCTGCAACCCGATTAATTTGGGGAAAATCATTTTCAAAATGCATGAATGTATGTAGTTTTAAGAACAAGCAGAACCCAAAAAGAGCTTGTAATGTTTAATCAATTTCTGTAATTGCTTAATATTATTGAGTCACAAATAAAGAATACTTTGCCCTCTTACCTGCAGAATGCAGACTGTTGGCAAGTCTTGAACTTATGCCTCTCCACAGCAGTACTCAGTCCCACACATAAAGCCAGGAAAGTCAAAACACAGATTCTTCTTGCACAGCCCAGCATTTTTCTATACATTTGTCATGGAGAAGAGATAATGCTAAGTCCTATTTCATTCATTGAGACATCATCAATTAGAGTATCAAGAAGACTGCATAACATGATCCTCTGACATAATGGTTCCCAACCCTTTCCAGTGACCCATATTCAGTATACTCAAAACTCACCAACCTATAAGGTTGATTGCCAATAGAAAACAGTAAAAGGAAAAAACACCATGTATAACCAAAGGCTAAACCTTGTTCCTGCATCCTAAGCTCTAGGCAACTCAAGTCAAAGCCTTTCATCAAACCCAGGAACGAGTTGCAACTAATTGATTGGAAACCACCATCTTGAAGGCTCTTGGAGTCACTCCATGTCCAGGGAATATACTTAACTGACTCCAATTTATTATTTTAAACTTTATGGCAATGAAGGTCCAGGACATAACCCTGAATGTGAAATTTTGGCAACTGGTGCAAAGGGGAGCTGAGATACTTTACTGTAGATCTATATAGATAGCATGCCAAATTTAAGAGACATATTAATACAAATTTCAACCATATTAGTCAAATGTAATTATATTTATTTGAAAGTAACAAATTTTGAATTCTTTTTGCATTTGATAAAATTGCCAATATGATGGCCTCCAATTTTCCATGTGGGACACTTGGTGACAAGTTCCATGTTGGATTAACATTAACATTTTCACCTCAAATTTTATTTGTCACCCTCAGTTCTTCATGAATCCAAAGCATAATAGTTTAAATACTATGCACAATTTATAACCTTAAACCAAGTTTTTCAGCATTTAGACTGCTTCTATTTGATTTAGGCATTGCTTAGAATGTGAAACATTTTTAATGGCACCAATATCAATGGAAATGTTGATGTTGATATTTCAGCCTCATATAATGAAGAGGTAGGTTACAGGTCACAAATTTGGCTCAAAATTTCAAGCCTTTTACTCTGCTGACTCATGAAGGGGTGAGGGTAAGATTACAAAATTTGGTTTTAACACACATCTGAGAAGAGCCAATGTTATCCCTAGCTTGTGGCACACCATTAAGAATTCTATAGAGCAGATAAAATAGAGTTCTAATCTTTTAAATTAGAACTCTATATTATTTTTGAACCTATTACTAAAGTAGTAACACTCACTAATTTCTCTGAAGAGGCTTTTGAATTCAATATGGTACGCATGAGCTATGATAATGTGTTACTGAGAAAGAAATGTATATCCAATTAATCATATTGCACCTCAAGCATTATTTCAAGTGGGCATGCCTAAGCTTCCTCCTACCCAAGTGGGTTGAAATAAATGTGGAGTTTTACCATAAACCACCTAACAAATTGTTTACAACAAATACAAGTCAGTTAAGCACAAAATATTGAAAACTGGACCTCTCATGGAATGACAGTAATGTAAAAAGCCAATGCATAAGAATCCTCACTTGGGCCTTGGTGACACAGAAGCTACAATGATAATAATAAATAAACCTAATCTGAATTCTGAAATGGATTTAAGGCTTTTATCTGATAAGCATAATACCTGTATGATAATTATACCTAGGATATGAAATAGGCCAATGTCAGTAGCATAAATTGAAGTTTCTGCCTGACCAATGGATTTTATTCTTTGAGTATAGGAGTGTTTTTTTGGAAGGGTAATATTTTACCAACAAGCAAATTTTTCATTCCACTGATATCAATTGTACCAACTGATATTTGGTTAAAGATTTGCAAGGTCTTGGATAAGAGATATAAAAATGGTTCCACAGTTCTGAATCCAAGCCAAGTGAGAAGGCCCTCACAAAAGGAAAGTCACATTAGTTGAGAACACCATAAAAAGCATAAATCATATTTTGTGAGAGTTCCACACCTCAATGGCATGCCATAGGAATAAACATGCTATTGCTTTGGCCTCATGGAAGGCTCTGCTTGGAATACATCTAAATTGAAAATCTTCAATGATATTGAACAATGAGAATATTTCAGAGGGTCTGAATCTTCAGCTAAAGAGTGGAATCCATTCAATTTCTATTTTTTGCAAACACAAGACTGCAAATCTTTAGAAAGTAAATGCAGAAATGCCAGACTAATTCTTTTAGATCATATATTAATCATAGATGGCACACCAGTATTTGACACTACACTTGGAGAAGTATGCCTGTAAACTACAATAGAGCAAGAAGACAGGCAAAGCTTGTAACTAGCACAAGAACTTCCTGGTTCAAGTACAATTTCTTCTCTCAGGTGACTGCATTGGGATGGTCTTCCACTCTGAATTTTAATCACCAACTCCACAGTCTGCCGTCACTGTTGGGTTGGCCTTTTTATTGCTCTTATGAAGACTCTTCACGATATGCCATCTACCAGTTGACCGACATGCAACTCCCCACAAATTCAAATCTTTTCTTTCGGACGTTGAGATTAGCCTATGACACCTACTTCAACCTTGACTAAAACTGAGGCTGAATATGAGCTTCTTTACTTTGGCCTCCTCCGACCTAGAATAAGGACTGTGTTGCAGCCTATGATAGTCGAATCAAGCCCAACATTAGCCTAACGTTAAATGTCAAGCCGAAAAGAGACCAGAGTTATAGCTCTTTCTCTAAGGAATAAGGTAAGCCGAGGCCACACACTTGTACCAGTTGTGGGGTGACTCCTGTACGGATGCCTTATTGATTTCAAAGAAGACCATTCTCTGCCCTTTTGGTGAGGAAACTGTAACCGAACTCTGTTAGGTCATCCGACTGAAGTCCTACTGTGTAGCGCCATACGAGACAAATCACCAGCCGGTAGAGTCTTCCACGGTCTATAGACTGACCCGATTGACTCAAACCGACCCGAAAAGTCGTCTACGGCAAAAATTTTGGAGATCTCACCTCTGGTGGGATGGGTCGGGTTCAACCAATTCTTCTCGTCTAGATGCAGTGAAAAATAAGCATGGTTTATTGGGTAACAGCGAAGTTAGGTAAGTGAAAAGGCAGAGTCGTTGCCTTGAGGTGGCTCTCCTAAAACAGGAAACCGCCTCGCTGGTTTCCTTCCATGAAATTTTCTCTGGAGTAGCTTTTATTTTATTTTTATAACGAGAGATGACAATGTCAATATTGCGTATATCGCGGATTGGATATGGTAGCATTAGGATTTGACACGGGTCGTGTTCCTATCAAGTCAGACAGTGAAGTTCTGTTAGCAATGTGGTTTTCGATCAGGTCTGGACTCGTTGCGGGTCGGGTTCGTCAAAATCGGTATGTGGAGGTCTCTATTACCTGGGTGGTCGAGCAGCAAGAGTTGCCACTCCAATTTCTGCACAGGGCCACCCAGAGGGGGGGGGGGGGGGGGAAGGGGTCAACCTGCCCCGGGCCCCGCATATCAAGGGGTTCCAAGGGGGGGGTGGGGGGGTCTCCAAAGAGCCTCAAGGGGCCCAAGTTAAGTTTTGCCCCGGGCCCCTAGAAACCTCTGGATATGGTTACCATATTTCAGAGAGCCGGAAGGAGGGCACCTTCATTTATCCAGGGAATATTTATTTTTATTGGAAAATCAAGGTTCCTTGTTCCGTGGCTAAAATGAGGAAGACATGAGGAATTCCTCAGCATATGTTTTCTATATTATTAAAAATACAAACAAATGCATGTCACACAGGCCTCATACTAATTTTTCGGCGCCATGCGTACTTTTCCGTTGAACACATTTTTCGATGTTGATTCACCAAGTAACCGTGAAAATCTGTTTACAATACATGTGCTCGAAGTTATACTGCACAAGAAGGATCCCTTTTACAGACTCAACAGCTAAGTTGTTCCTTTCCCGTGTCCACTGGCTTTGCATTAGCGAAAAAACTCTCTCCGCATTTGCATTGTGAGAAGGAATAGCAAAGAAAAAATCTGCTATCTTTAACAACTCTGAGAGAGTCTACATTTTTTTAACTGTTGAAGTACTTCACCCATTTTTGGTGCGTTAGCAGAAAGTATAAATCTTTTTTAGTTTTGGGATGAGAAGTTCATTCATAACTTGGTGTATCGCTCAAACTGTGGCTGTTCGACCCGTTTCCCAAATCATTAGGTGGGATTTAATGAAAATCAGGATGGGACAACTGCCTAAACGTCCCCGCGCATTAAAGGAGTTGATAATTAATAAAAAAAAAGTTGTTTCTGAACCGTCTCAATTCAATATTTGGAGATTTTTATGGCCTGTCAGAAGCCCTGACTTTACAGCCTCCAGTTTTTTTTTCAATTAGGCACTTTAAAATCATGAATTTACGAAACAGACCAGGGTCCTGTAAAGAATTAAGCCGAAACATCGAACTTGAAATAGTCAAAATTACCATAGACATGATTCATAAAGTGATGAGCGACACTGTGACACGTGTGCGCCAGTACATACCAGAAGGAGGCGGACTAGCATTATTTTTAATAGTTAAACAATATATAAACCAGATGTGAATATCGTCTCCTTAAAACTCATCAGTATGTGCTATGAAGTATAAATTATTTTAATAACTATTTTTAAAAATATGCAAGTCACATAGCTTTTATTTATCTGGTATTTCTTGGCTACATGTGCATAAATTTAAACGAAAAAATAAAAACTTTCAGAGCTTCACAGTGCAACGACATGTTCGCTGCCGATGACGCACATGCGCGTCAAAGGCTGGTTTTGAGGAGCGCCGATCAAGTACCTAAGCGTTATAAGCGATTTCCTATTTCCATACCTCCATTTTTTAAGGGGCTCGGCAATGGCAAATAGCATGAACCATGCGACTCTGGGTGGCGCTCTAGTTTCTGCGTAGCATCATATGTCAAGTGTCTGACTTCCTTCACGAAGAACTTGGAATGGCCGATGAAAACATCGATGAAAATGTGGAGATTTGAGATGTGAAACCTGCTCACTCTCACCACGGAAGAAAATGCGAAATTGAGATGGCGACCACGAAGTCTCGAGGAGAGACCCCAAATGGAGGGAATAGGAAGCAGGAAACGTTACGGACGTGTCGTCGCACAGATGTTACCAGGCCGGAAAAATTCTGAATATTGGTGACCGGAGGATGAATCCCGGACAAATTCAATACTTCTCAAAAATCCGCCCTGACGGAAATATGAAGGCCAAAAAAGAGGACATATCCGGGAAAAACCGGACGTATGGTAACCCTACCTCTGGGCGGCCCTGTTTCTGCATAAGGGGGGGTTAACATTACAGTGATTTCACTTTCTGTTAGCTCCGTCTTTCCGTCTTTAGCCTTGCTCATGACTATTCTATGGAAATTTGAAAAAAAAAAACAGTGTGATCCAGTGACCCATGTTAAGGGCAGTGTGAATTGAAAATGCATAGAAGGAATCGGTCCGTATTGACGTCACGTTTATTTGCATTCCGGAGAGACCACCGTTGTTGCAGGGTGAATCGCATTGAAAGTCAACGTCAGAAAGCTGCAGGTGCAATTCCAAAGGAAAAAGCGCGAGAGGCGAATTAAGAATCATTGTCCGGCGAAAAGTCTCAGGGAACTGGAGATGGAGTAGAAGCGGAGGAGGAGGAAGGACGAGTCCATAAAAGAGAAGATTTTGACCCTTTGTAAAATCTGCCATTTTATGATATAGAATTGTTTTGTTACTGTTTGAAGTGCAAGTAAAACTGAAAGCACTTCATCGATCTATCTGGAGTGACAGATTCATGCTATTTAATGCAGCCCTGTTACCTGATTTCATAGGCGGCGATTTGTTGAGAAATTTGGGGGAGCTCAGAGAGAGTACTCCAAGTATTCCTTATTCTTCTGCCAAATTTTTTGGGGGGCTCGAGCCCCCTGAGCCCCTAGGAATCGCCGCCTATGCCGGATTTTTCCCTTCCCATGACTTTAATAAAATGATAAATCTGCAATGAAATAGTAAATGGATTTTCTTTCTAGCCAATACGTAGTACATCCAAACAATCGCATGTGGTGGAATGCAGCTCATGCAAATTTTTCCACCGTTGGGGGCTTCTAACTGATAGTTTGAAATGGCTCAGGGTAGTTATTCTTGAAGACGTTCACGCAGGGCGTGTACGATACCGGTTATTTTTCAGTCATGGAGTATGAAGACCCTCGAGTGCACGTATCACTCCCATGTCGAAAATCGAATTACTTCCATGGAGCTGTTTAGTCGATCCAAGGTTTCTGGGAACTTGCAACTTAAAACGACCTTGAAATTTTTCTACTTTCCTATTCCATTGGTTCTATGGCCTCTATTATTCATTGCACAAATGATTTAACGGTCCAGACAATTGAAATGTCGGTGGGTGAGTCATCCATCCAAGCCTATCCTTTATTTCCCTTGCCGTTTGCCACGAGCATTCCAAACCCTGGACTGTCGCGTTATTCTATTGCTGACATTTTACCTCCAAGTTCGTCCACGTGAAAGAGGCATCATCTTTACAACTCTTGTGACATGCACGCAACTTAAACAATAGGCCCTCTTATTTGTTGCAGCTTCGTAGCGCCACTTTGCGAGAACGTACACTCTGACATGTGAAGGCGAAATTATTGATATCTTCCATTTGATTTCAGCTGCCTCGAGGCGAATAGCTTTTAATTATCTCCGAAGAAAGGCAGTATGGGAAAGTTTAGTCGCAGTTGATTGCCAGACTGAATGCAGCCTACATGTCGAGAAAAAACTTGAATTCACGCTCAGTGTAAAGCAAATAAAAAAAATAATTATGGGACTATGAACAAAAAACTAGAGGACAGTGATTACACTGCATTCAATGCTTCTGGCTGTCCTTTTGCTACTAAATTGGAAAATGCTTAATGAAAGGAAACTAAATTTAAAAAATAAAATTAAAATTAAAAAGAGAAACTACAGGAAGGCAAAATAGAAAAAATCCATATGAATCTGAGGCTCCATCAGACGTATGAATGTCCTTCGTCAAAGTACTATCGATTGGCTATCGTTTATGATTGACTGAGGGTTCGATGTTATCGCAGGCCATAACGATAATTAGGTCTATCGTATGTCTGGCAATCTAAACCCATGGACTGGGACCAAATTTAGAGCCAGTGGCGACCCAAGATTCCTTCGTATTACCCCACCTGATGAGCATGGAATAGGAGACAAATGGATTTTGAAATATTATAGTTGAAAGGTGGATGCTAGTAGGAGACATCGCTGAGCTCTTTCCTTGCCTTCCCCTCTGTCGTAGCCACAGCTATTGTCTTACCCCCAAGAAAAAAAGGCAGGAGGGAGGAGAGATCGGAATCTTCCAGGGTCGCTCCGGTATATCCCTAGGGCAGAGATCGCCAATGGTCGTATCTAACAGAACACTAGAAAAGGAAAGACCAACCAGTTTTCTCGCAGCTTCAGTGGTGTGCCCAAGGGGATTTTAGGAGTCATAACCCCCCCCTTGAGATTTTTTGGACACGCTACTGCACAGCTTGTCTCCATTTCAAAGCTGGTTCCGAAATACAACTAGTCAGAGTGATTCGCATAGAAATATGAACATACTTTGAAATACAACTGAAAGAAAGCGAGAAGGATGGAGAGAGAGAGAGACTAAGAAAAGTATTTTTGTGTAAGCTCCCTGATTTTGGTTGACTGAGCTCTAGCCCATTCGAGTGAAGTTGCAGTTCTTCGCCATGGCTTCTGCCCTTCTTTTGCCATGCACAACAAATAGGTGAGGATGATCTCTACCATCTACCCTACACGCTCTGCTTGGAGACGGCAAATCATGACATTTGAAAAATCACAAGAGTACTCTTCCCAATCGCCTTCCTTCAGCGAGCATCTACTTTCCAGCTTGGTAAGTAACTCGGAGCTACCAAAATTGCTGACATCTTACATGCGAAAATGGCGGTACCACCTGAAAATTGTAAGTTTCCAGGAAGAAAAATCGGAAGAAAATTATGATAGCATGATTTATTTATTTATTTTTTTGCTCAGAGATGCCTAATTTAATATTTTTATTTTGAACCAATGAAAGCAAAATTTCAGTAGGTAGCAAAGTCTATTGCAAAGCTTGCAATAGACTTTGGAAGAAGACTTAGAAAGCTTGAAAGCGAAGGGGAGACAACCAAGACTAAAACTCAGGCTATGCTATAAAGAGACTCAATGTAGTTACCTCCGATCATCAATAGCACCGAAGTCATTCATGATTTCCTGGGTTTCATTCGAAATTCGTCAAATGCCTGGTTTTCTTCTTATAGAGAACGTTTGGCATTCGACAGGCCCGCGAAAAAGCTTTCCTTCTCTTCAGTGGAAAATTTTCGTTTATCTATTCGGTATTAAATCCTTGAGTGGAACAGCTCTGAACAAAAGAAGTCGACATACACCACGTAACATTCGAAGTGAGTCATTGCTATAAATAATTATAAACGTTACATTGGTTTGGTACAATTATTTGGTTTCATGCAGTCTGGATGGTTTCTTTACGGTGAAATGGGTCTCCCGATGATGAAGATGAAAGTACAGTAGTTACATGTACCCAAAGTGCGCCATAATACGTTATTACCTTCATCGTTACTCACGAAATCGATAGTAATCCACTTCGAATGTCGAGTAGTGTGGCTTTCTGTCGATTTTTTTTTCGAGAAGCCGTAAGTTAACACCTGGATTGAGTGACTGTTGTTATGAAATGTAGAAATGAATAGTCTAAACAGCTTATGACTCTGCTTTCCCTCATAAGAAAGGAGTTGTCAAAAGGAAGCAGCTTCATGGACGCTCTGCAGCTGACGTCCTCAAGATCTCAGAACCAGTGTCGCAACGTGGGCCCCCTGTCCATTTTATTATTATTGATTTATGTAATTACCGGCATGAATAAAAAAAATGGGTACTCACCAAGTGAAGTGGCTTCCTCCCCGCTCTTTCCCAAGCAAAGACATAGACGATTTAGAAGTAATTTAATTTCTTCGCACGTTCATTTTCTATCGATAAAGAGCGAGACTGAGTCGTTCTTGCATCATTGCATTTCTCAAATGACTTGAAATTTTGAGTTTCGAAAAGGAGCGCTCTGCAGTAGCCACTGGCACTGAAGTCAGTCAGCTGAAGTCAGTGTGGAAGGGTGAATAGCATTGAAAGTGGCCACCGCTTCATTAAATCCCACGATGCAGTTGCAAGATGTCTGTGCAGTGTCGCGTAGAATTCCTCTGCTTCATTTTGACCTTCCTTTTCAGTTCCCGGTATCACTTCGTTCCCATGCCAAGGGGGCTCCCAGCCAACCAACTAACGTCCCTCCCCTATGGTAGCTCGGCGCCTGTGCCCCGCCGGGCCGTGGGCCCCGGTGCAGCTGCACCGCCTGCACACTCTATAGCTACGCCACTGCTCAGAACAAGGCCTCTGGCTCGAAGGCACTTGTAATAGTAATTATCAGGGAGCTGTGTGAATCTAAAGCCAAGAGAGAATTCTCGTGCTTCGATCGACACGAGGTGGTACTTTCCAACTGCATGAGGCTGATTTATGCCAGTGGAACTTCTGTTTTCAGTGCTTCATGTCTGCGTGAGGTTTCCTTTCGCAGTTTTGAGATCAGAATTATTTTGATTATGAACCTTCACGGGGGAAAAATTTAGTATCCTGGGGCAAAGATGCTGCAATCATTTTAAGGATGAGGATAGAATTTGTTTTAAGAATGCCAACTCAATTTGATTAACGGGATCCAAGTGAGGAATAATCCCAATCCAAGTCGGAAGACGCGAAAAGGAGAGGAGAAAGCATAAAATTCCCGTTAAAATATTGGTTAATGAAAAGGGCTCGGAACACATAAAGAATCTTCTTGTTTTGGTCGACAGATCCCCTCATCATCCATCCATCAACCATTTTGTATCGACAATCTTTGCCAAAGTAAAAAAAAGCAATCCCTTTCGAGAAAAGGGCGGCTTTATTTCCAGAATGAATGAGATGGCATAAAAATACGTACGTATCACATGCAAATACTATGGACAGTCGGATTCATACAGAATTCTCGTCAGTCGGGGAAGGTGTGCTGGAGCTTCTCGTACACGTATTCATACACGACCAGCATGATTCCTCCACCTGAGATAGTCCAAGGTCAAAAACCTTGTCACACATCATACAGTACACCGTGTGGAAAGGCTCTTTGACATTTGGCACTCATGCTCTATGAATGATAACGCCCTAGACTTGACCTACGACCTTTCACGTCATACACGTCCCCAGTACATTTCTTGATCGTTCATGAATGAATCTTTCTTTAAAACATTTTTTTTCTTCATCCATTTGCATCTGGGTCATGGTATCAAAACGCCTAATTTTGAAAAACAGATTTGATGGAAATGGTCGGGCACAAAGCCATCGTGGCTTCTTGTGCCTCATTTTTGAAGGCACCGTTTCACCGAGACAAGACGATGCCGTGTAAATCACGGAGCTTCTTGGAATTACGCGGAATAAATTCCGACCCTCGATCCATTCCCCCCTACCCAAAATCGGACAGGACATGGAGTGTAGAATCCCTCACTGGATCATTTGAACCGCTCACCTAGGGCAGCACACACGACTGCATCGCGAAAACAATGTCACGCCACGTGCCGAACTCGCATTACTTCATAGCCATGGGAATCAAATGACTGGGCGAACACGATCGACGTCATGGCAAAACTTTTCCTAAATGCCTTCCCGTTCATTCATTTCGACGGGAAGGAGAGGTTAACCCCTTTAGTGCCACAGGAGCTGTATATAGTCGATCAAGCTTATGGATCGGCCGCGTGGTACTAAAAGGATTAAGGAGAGACCGATGTTGGCCATCGTTCATTCTCTGTGTGGGAACGCAACTACATCCCAGCACTTTCCCAAATTCCTTCCACTCGCGAAATTTATCCCCCAGAAATGAAAAAAATTTGGCATCACGCAACTTCAACTCGAAACTTTTCCGCAGATGCGATCGTCCGATCGTGAGGGATTTTCTTACCTGGTCCCAAACGGAGAACTTTAGGGACGAGTCCCTTGTACAAGGCCCGAAACCTGAAAGAGAAGGGAGAAAGGGGGAATCAGAGATCGCAGGGACGTCGAGAACGAAGGCATGCGATATTCGGAAGAGGTCCGAGACCGTACCCTTCTTCCCTGTACACGGTAAGCATGGATGCCAGGGTGGTCCTGTACTTGACTTGCCCAGGAACGGGCTGTGGTCCTTGGATCCGGGACTTCGCCACATCGAACGGGATGTTGAAGCAGGAAGCGATCGTCCCTGCGATCAGCCCGATCAGCAACCGTCGAAGTACTTCCAAACGATGATCCTACGGGACGAAAGAACCTTCCCTTTGGTTCCGATCGACAATTCTAAACGAAATTTTTTGAGTGTCCGATGTACAAAACCGGGAAGTGAGTTTCTTTCGTCGCTTCGGAGTGCAAGACATCCCCTCGATCAAAATGCTTAGATGACAAAAAAGATGGAATTTGAAATAGAACAAGGCAGATCGAGGGGTTCAACGATCTGGATTCAACTAGATGTATCTAAAGACAAATATTCATTGCGACTCGACACCATAAGATTCCCAGTGCACCCAAGAAATATATGGGATTGACCTGGGATTGCAACAGATTGGAGACGATCAGCAAAAAGATTCGAACTGAAAAAAGTCAAACCGGCGCTTATTTTCTTTTTTTCCTCTCATAGTCCAAATAGCGCGGTGGCGGAATTCGTTCTCAGATCGGGTTGCTGATAAAATGCTTCTCAACACGTTCTTTCCATAGAAAACTACCGGTCTGCACATTTAAAAGTTGCGCTACTTGAGAATGAAACCCTCTCTCTCCCCACTCCCACACTAAAATTATCCTCGATTCGCCGGTTGGTAAACAATATTCTCCTGATTCAAAATCCAAAAAATTTCCGCAAAAATTTACTCTTGCATGAGAGCAGGAGTAAATTGGAGAATCATACAATACTGCTTTCAAGAATGGTTGATTTTTCTAGCAAGTCTTCTCAGTCGAATCTAACTGAACTCTTCAGCGAAACAGCTTCCGAAGTTGTCCTGCTCCAAGAGTAGATTATCTCGCATTCAAAGAATAAATTCTATATTTTTTAATTCAAGATATTTTGACGGCTTGCGACGGAAAGAAAAGTAGAGAAGCATCGGAGAGAAGTTTCCGAAAGAGTCACCTGAGCGTGAGGGAAGTATCCCTTCACGGAATGGTAGAATCCGAAATAAATCATGTTGAAGGATCCGTTGCGGCACATGGTGGCCGTGATTCCTTTGTTGAGACCCCGCAGACCGAACCCACTGGATCTCACGATCTCCATGGTGGTCGCAACCGTGGACGGGGCGACCCGATGGTGGGAATGATTCGCCTGCATGGAGACCTTCACCACTTCGAAGGGGTTCACCAGGATGGCCTCCGTCACCCCTGCACCCAAGCCTGCGAGTGAAAACGTCTGAAGAAGACGTGAAAACGCATCTAGGAACCCACACGTTTGGTACATTCAGAAGGGAGTGAACACCCCACGTCCATTTAATCTTTTTTTTTTCTTCCAAATCTGAATCGTCTCGAGGAAGCGAGCTGAAGGTATATCCATATTGCGAGCGCGAAGAAGTCGAAGTGGGTGGGGAAACTGAACTGCTCACCAATGGTGTTGGTCCCTGAGATCCAAATGTGAACATCCTCTTGTACTGCTCGAAGGTGAAAAACTGCAATAGAGAAAGTTAAAAGGCAAATCAGACGGAAGAAATATACGCCAGGTACCCGCACGAATCCCCCTTTTCTGAGAAAAATGTGTATTTAAGCGAAGCTGTATTAAACTTGAAAATATATCATATGGGGGGGGGGGGCGCAAATGCGGATAAGTGACACGACATGAATGACAGGGTCGGACTGGCCCACAGGGATACTGGAAAATTTCCCGGGGGACCCCTCAGACCTAAGGGACTCCTTGGTCTGCATCACAAAGGGGGGGGGGGGGGGGGGGCTTTTGTCAGTAATTTCCCGGGGGATCCTTAGGTCGTAAGACCGACTCTGATGACTGAAATAGGGTGAATTCGGGCAGCGTCACTTTCCGCCCCCTACGGAGCACTCAAAATGTCCTTTTTCATTGGCGCATCGGTGGTGGTCTTCGAACGTCATCGATACTCCACAAATCGGATCCCATCGTCATATTGAGTCCCGAAACATGAAGTAAGAACTTGACACAATGAAAATTCCCCATTCTATCTTTGATGGAGATCGGGAAGGACTGTGTGACTTTAACCACACGTGTTCTATCAGGAGGGTAAAACCGATTCATTCTGGAGTATCTAACCACGGAAGATCAAAGCGAAATTACTTCCCTGGAAGAGAGGAAGGAAAACCGGCGGAAATTTTATCACATTTGTGGGGCTTTAATAGCAACGATTCGATGAAGCGTGCAAAGCGATAGTCCTCCGAAAAAGTTGAGGATAGCTTCGCGTCGGAACGAGCAACCGTACGATCGCATGTCGGTAGCCTCCCTGTTTCGTCGAGGAAAGGAGGCTCGTGAATGAGTAGAGAGACAGAGAGACAGGGAAAGATGGAGCACCTTCACGGCTCGTTTCGGCGTTTCCACGAGAATGGGAGGAATGACGCCCTTCCAGAAGGAGAGGAATCCTTCGGCCCTGTACATCTTCCTCATGCAGTCCACGATGGAGGTGTAGGAATGCATGTCTCCGGCCACGGCCTTGGTCTGAAGCTGGAATCGAGTCTTCAGCACGTCCAACGGCTGCATCATGCACACTTCCACGAACCCTTTCCATCGCGAAGAAAAGGGATTTCGAACCTTTCGGATCGGGGAAGAACCAAAGAGACGGAAATGGAGACGATCGTGATGGATTTACCTGCCGATCCGCCTGCACAGATCTGCATACCGGCGTGCTTCAAGGTAGACATGGTTCCACCTGTCACGAAAGCTCAAAGGTTAGAATCTCATCGTCGCAAAAAAATGGCCTTCGTTTCTTTATACGAGGGGTTCACCAAAGTTTTCGAGACTGACGACTTGAGTTTTGCTTGGAGCGCCTGTTTAGGGTGTGCTTTTCTCGGTGGTACAGCTTGAAAAACGGTATGTCATCAAATTTACGCTGCGTGTCGGCGTAGAGTTATGAAAGTCTGAAAATGGTACACCAGCAAAAGTTACTGACTAAGCGTATCGTGACGAAAATCGGGACAAATCGGACGAAATCGCGGACTCGATCGTTCATCGTCCTCAAGAAGCGTCTCTTTTTCGGCGAAATGGCCGTCTGTTTCGCACGTACGAGCCAGCGCACTCGATTTTTGCGAATGGACTCACGGTACCGGTCCTCATCGAAGCCTTCGAGCACATCCTCGGTTGCGTCGATCGGTTCGGTCCGCGCAACCACGAACCAAACGTGCAAGTTTGGCTGGGATCGGCATCCTCATCGCCAGATTTGGCTCCTCGTGACTTGGCCTTCGTCCCAGCGAGGAAGGAGCTGGATGGCCACCGGTTCCACTCTCGTCGTCGCGTCGATCCCTATCGACGCGACCGAAGGTGAAGTCCAAGGCAAGGCAAGGACGGGTCCTGTGAGTCCATTCGCAACAAAAAAAAACCACTTCCCTGGCTCAAATGCGTGAAACCGAATGGCTGTTGGTGAAAAAGGAACGTCTCCTGACGTCGAATGAGTTGGCGATTTAATTATCATTGTCCTTATATTTATCAAATACGCTTCGTCAGTGTATTTTGCGAGTGTGCTACTTTCAGATTGTCATAACTCAACGAGGCATCGTTGCATTACAGTACGAAACAGATCACACAGTTTTTCGAGTTCCACAAAATAACCCGAAGCACGCCTCGAAAGACACTCTCGTCAAAAGTGATGACGTCAATCTCGAAAATGTTGGTGGGTCCCTCGTGGAATGAGCGCTGCGCGAGGAACCTCCAATCGCTTCGTGGGCGTTTCCGAGGGCGTTCGGTTTCGCACGGCTTCTACAGTCCCAAAATGGAATTAATAAACATGCTGATGTGGTGGGGGGGGGGGGGGGGACTGGAATGCATCTGCTTCGGCTCAGCCAACTCCTATATATCATCCTAAGCTGTCTGCGAGCGTTTCAGGATTCTTCGTTGTCGTGCGTCATTCCAAAAAAAGTCACCATTCCTATTTTACTCATTCGAGAGTATTTTTTATCAGGTTGCAAAACCCCGCTGCACGTGCTTACTTTCCACGCGTTTATGGTTTGCAAGAAAAGCAACATTGGAGTACGGTGAAACCCGGATCCCGTGTCACAGAGAATCTTCCCACAACTTGGCACATCTAGCTTCGTTTTTTTTTTCCAGAGAAAGGAGACTTATTTTTAAATTAAAATAAAAATAATAAAAAAAAACAGAGAGAAGGAGGTGGAGAATAATCTGGGTTGTGAAGTCCCCATACGGCTTCTTTCGCAATTTTTCCAACAGTGGCATGGAGTTCTTTTTCAAGAAACGGAGGAATCCAGCACATGCCAAGTGGGGTTTTCAAGTGAAACATGGATAGAGGAAAGTCAAATGCGACACGGAAAATCAAATACGCTTCGGTGTTCTGAATCGCGCGAGGCTCGCATTTTCAAATGTCAAGAATTGCATAAAGCCTCTAAAAAGGGAGGATTTCCGATCGCGACGGAACGACCGAGTCGTGGCTCAAGTTCCGCCGATGTCGTTTGCCGATTCCTTCGGAGTCGGGATACGAAGGGATTCCAGCCCTCGTGATAGTCCCTTGCTATTGAAAAGTGACATTCGTGGCTCCCATACACAGAAACGTGGGTGAGTGTAGGACAAGGCGATGGGAATGGGAGAGCAACGAGCAAACGGATGCCATCACGTCTTCCTCCATCTCCCTCCTGTCACATTTTTTTCCCTATTCCCTCGTTAGCTGTCTTTTGAGTCCGACATCCAAGAGGCCGGTCTCCAATCACTTTTTTTCAGCCGTTCGAAATGTTGCGAGGGCGTCCTTCGATATCGATTCCCTTGTCGCATTTCCAATTCCGACTTTCACATCCCACTTGGAAAACCTATCATTTGCTCCCACGAACGCGTGCAGAGAGGTTCCAGGAGCTCGCGAGAGGTAATGAATTGCGCAAGCGCGATCCTCCATCGCACTCGCTCTCTTCCCCCATGCTCCCCCTTGGTGAATAGTTATATCTAGAGTCGTCACAGGAACCTTGGGCATTCGTAGCCGAGATGTAGATTACAAGCTGAAAAGGGTCGACGCTAACGTCCTGCTTAGCAAGGCGCTTCGTGCCATTCGAGGGTAGAAAGTCGTACGAGATTCACCCCCAATTTCGGGCCACCCAGTAACAAAAAAATATGTATAAAAAAGCCAATTTTCAAGTGGACATGCGATTAACTTTGAGCTTCATGTCGTAGCATATAGAAGAGCGAATTTTCGGTAATTTTCGCACATTAATTTAGCATATAAGTCGATCATTTTAAAGCAAACGAGGAGGGCAATACATATTTGGAAGCGTATGTTACGCACGAATGTCAGAGTTGGCAGTGAGCAAAACGCCTCACTTCCGACATTCGTGCGGGGGGATCGAGCAACGAGCAGATGCGACACACACGGGATGCGGCCCGGGCCGTGTGCCCGTTCGGCCCGACGATGGATTTCTCGGTCGCCGATGCGAATAATGCAATCCGGACTCACTTGCGAGCGAAGTGCAGAGAGGATGGGAAGCACAGTGCCTTCACACGCGGCTGGATCGATGCAGACACGAGAGAGCCTCGGAGCTCGTATGCTTCGGCCTCGTCTCCAAGGTCAAGGACGACAAAATCCACAGCTACCCCAGGCCCCTTCTCCCTCGCTTCATCTACCTCTGCTGCCCCTATGCCTATCCCCCTCTTCGCTTCTCCCCTGGGGTGACATTAGGCCGGCTGCACGCCGGTCGAACGACATCGTGAAGCGTACCTCGTACTCGGATGCTACATAGTGACGCAGCGCGAGGGGGGGGGGGGGGACTCCCAAGTTTCACTCTAGTATTCTAGTCCCCCCAACTCTAATCTAAACGTATCCCCTCCACCAAATAATTTCTGGCTACGTAAAGGACAATATTCACTGGGTGAGTTGTGGGCGAGTGAGGTGTTACACTAGGCGAGTTCTAGTAGGCACTAGCGAGTACTCGCCAAGCTTATCATGCCCTATAGAGGGGAAGTTAGGGAAATTCTAGCCCCCCTTTGACAAAACCCTGACTACGCCACTGAATCGGTTCATGCTTCATTACAGGGTGGGCACTAAGTCCCTTTGCAGTGAAATTACAGCACATCTGTATTTTGCCCTCCGTTCTCAGCACATTGTTTGATCCGTGTCCACGTTCTCTTAGACATTTTCTTCCACATTGAAAGCTGAATACCATAAAAGCAGTTCCTGATGGCTTTTTTTTTAGGTCCTCAACATGTGATAATTCACCTTGGGGCATTGTGAAGGAAAAGATATCCCAACTGCGGATAACAAATGTTGAGGACCTAAAAACAGCCATCAGGGACTGCTTTTATGATATTCAGCCTCCAACGTGGAAGAAAACGTCTAAGAGAGCATGGACATGGATCATACAATGTGGTGAGAACGGAGGGCAACATACAGATGTGCTGTAGTTTCACTGCAAAGGAACTTTATGCCCACCCTGTAGATGGAAAACAGAAAACAATAGGGCACCGCACACTGAAGAAAACGCTTCAACTCGTTGTACTCCATCTTATGAAGCGTGTATGAGACAGGTTTCACAAGAGCGTTTCACCAGTTTGCGGCCGAGCGTAAGTAAAAGGAAGTGCGCGCAACCTAAGCATTCTTTTCCGTACGAAACTTCAGTCCTTTCTCCGTCCAAGTGCATTTGGTAGAGGCCTCGGTGCACCAATAAAATACTGGTATCTCATAAATTGAAGAGCTGAAAGGTAAACTGGTCCATCTGCAATAAAAAAAATCCGAAAACCGGTAGTCAGTCGATGCACACGAGTCCTTTCTTGAAAGTTAGCCGTGCGCGAAATTTATGTCCCGGAATGTGAAAAACTGGCCCATCTGAACATCTTTTCCTCACTTTTGAAGAAGACGGTCACTGGAATATCCACTCTTTCCCTATGAAGTTTGTGAAACGAATTTTCGGAGATAAACCAGTATTCCTTTCGGCCCTTTGATCTCTCAAGTGGAATAAGATCTTACGAGAAGATGGCAGGAACGCAGCGGGGGAGGGGGGGAGGGGAGGGGAGGGGAGGGGAGTACATGCTCATTTTCTATTTAAAAATATAAGATCTTGTTTATTGAACACCTCCGGCGGAGAGAAACTTCAATGTTGTTGAATCTGCGTCCGGAGGGCATGGATCAGGTTCACTTTCATCTCTCCAAATGCTCTCAGATAAGCCGAGAAAGCGGATCTTCGACACGAGAAGGGGAAGAAGAAATAGAATAGGTGCTACCGAGCCTATTCATATTTCATGAAAGGAGTCTAAGAATAAAAGGGGTTCTTTCAGCGCTGATCCTTCCCAGAGGGAAGAGGGGAACGGATCGCGTCGGGAGACACTCGCGAGGGAGGCTATCGGTCCAGCCATTTTATGCCACCAATACCTTCTCTGCTTGTACTGGCTTGCTTTCAAACTTTAAAGTGTACTGTGGTTTTTTTTACATTAAGATACATTTAATAAAAGAAATTCTTATCTGGCCACACACAGTCTGAGAGCTATGTTCATGCCAAGTCTGGTCGAACAAATTTTTGTAGTATTGAAGGATTTCTGGAACAGCAAACCCTACCAAAAGAAAGATTTCGGTTCTGGTTATAAAAATAAAAGGAGGCAGTGAAATACAGAAATCTGTTGCTATTCTTCCCACCCTTTTTAAAATTTCCCCAGAGGTACGCTGTAAGGGTTGACTTGGTGGAACATTTCAGCACTGCTGGCTGACTCATAATCGCACACTTGCCATACTTTGACCTGCAAGAGCTTAAAATTATTTCTAAAATAAGCTCAAATATGCCTATCTAGTGCTTTTAAATCTGAAGTATGTAAATGTAACTGTAAGTTATGCAACTCAAGTGAGAAAATTTTCAGGGGTGGAAATAAATTTCCGACATTTTCAAGCATTTGTATGAAATCTCCAGGGAATTAATTTTATTCGCCCCTCTCAATCATCGCATATGCCTTGGTTTCAACTGCAACTTTTCCTAGAGATTTTCGTTGCGTTCCGTGCCTAGCGATGTTCGTTTTTCATTCGCCTTTCCCGAATGGAAAGAGGCCGCTTTTTTGTTCCATCTGGTTTGTCTATCTCCATTTTCGCTGTTCAAACTAAAATATAAAGAGACGATTACCGTGAAAATTGGCAGATATGGACATGCTACAGGCAAAGTTTGCGACAAAATCCATGCAAATGACAATTTTTATGAGTAAATTTGGAATTTAAAAGGATGGAGACCAATAGCTAATTGACTATCACATAAGAGAATGTGACTGTCAGTACAACGAATAATCAGAAAGTCTGGCAGTAAAGCTGCGCGATATTTCGGTATTTTTTTTTAATATTGCGATATGCAGCTGTGGCGATATTGATATCGTTCAGGTGCACACAAATCGATATTATCGCTGGCGATGTCAATATGGATATTATCATGACATCGCTGCCTCCTTCGGATGGGGATTATTCTTTGTTAAGAGATGGAGACGTATCGTTAAGGGAAATCTAGGAATAGAAATCTCCCTCCCTCTCCCGTTTTGACTTTGGAAGTTCGCACATTGAAGAGGGAGCAATCGGGAGGCCAGCCATAGCAACGCCCACTCGTCGTTTTCATTTCAAAGTGAACGAGTCGACATGTCATCGGTGAGTTCTACATTCAACGAAAATCTAGTATAGGATCATTAGCAAGAAAAACAATAATAGAAAATATATCAAGACATTGCATTGTGCTGATCGGCGCTGTAATAATCACAGAAAGTACGGACGGAAACGATCTATCACACCCTCCTCACCCTCGATGTTGCCCATTAGATCCTGTTGATGGTCATAGGAGAGGGAGGAAAAGGAAGGCTAGGATTTCCAAGAAAACAAAAATATCGTTCTGCTCGGCTCTCTCCAGCAGCGATAAAATCGAATAGGGTAGGAAGAGGGGGAGGAAATGCTGTGGGTCAGGGTTTCCAAGGCACCAACGTAGCTTCGTGCTTTCCCCTTTCCCCCCCCCCCCCCCCACCCCCCCTTCCCCAATCTCCTCTCCTCAGCCGACAATAAAATCGAGATATCGCGATACCGCTGGCAGACGATACGATATTGTTCCAGGACAAATATCATGCAGCCCTACCTGACATTGAATGCGTCGAGGGAACACTTCTACCAAATTTCGGCCCGCTGCCGATTTGGTTCGTATTAACAGCAATGGGAGGGTCATGAAGGGTTGCAAAGGAACCCAAGTTTTAGGTTCTCACATTGTTTCCTTATTGATGCAATTCTAGAAGCAAAAGTTGCAAAAGGATATGATCTCATTGTTTGACACCTACCGTACAATTCCATCCTGTTTACAGAGGCGCAGAAATGTCACCAACTTCAAGTCACAGTCTTAGGCATATATCAGTTTTTATGCTTGAAAATCCGAAGTTTGTGTTTCGTATGGAGCCCATTCCCCAACCGAAACAGTTTCTTTCTCCCAGAGAAGCGTATCTGGTTACCGAGTACCTGTCCACCAAGAACAGATTTGGTTGGAGAACTGGAAGATTGCAGATCGGAGAAGAATATTACCGACAATATTGGAAGAGGAGAATACGGGTACTCTTTAATAAATACGAGGCAGCTGAGTGCAACGATGTAACGAACGTGATTGAGACGTGTCGCATGTTTTCTCCTTCGTCGTCTTACCCGTAGATGAGACTCCGATGCCTTTTCAACGAGCTCACGCCAGCATCTGAAGAGCCCTAAAAGTATCCTTTTAGGTTTCGCTAGAAGGACCCTGAATCTCGCTGAAATAAGCGTGAGCAGTCGAAACACGGGATGCACACTTCCGAAGCAATCCATGAGAACTGTTACTGAAACTGCGAGAACAAGAGTAGAAGTGTGAGATATGATCGAGACTTACATTGATGCGCGAAAGACACGATACGGCTAGAGGAAATGTTGAAATCGCCCAGCCCACCTCCCTCATCGAGACAGGATGGCACGTGACGACGCAGATCGTTTCACACGCGTTCCAGTGTCTGCCGGGTCGTGTCACGGATCTCTACGGTTCGCTCTCCTGGATTTCTTCGAAGATGCGAGGGGTCTTCCGAAACACCTGCCCCTCCAGATACTCCCACGAAAACAAGTCTGGAGAGACGAGGTGAGGGGACTTCGGCGGTCAGAGGTCCTCGGAAACGAACCTGTCGCCGAAGAAGGTGCCTATCAGAGGCGTTTTTGCATTCGCGACGNCAATAAAATCGATATATCGCGATACCGCTGGCAGACGATACGATATTGTTCCAGGACAAATATCATGCAGCCCTACCTGACATTGAATGCGTCGAGGGAACACTTCTACCAAATTTCGGCCCGCTGCCGATTTGGTTCGTATTAACAGCAATGGGAGGGTCATGAAGGGTTGCAAAGGAACCCAAGTTTTAGGTTCTCACATTGTTTCCTTATTGATGCAATTCTAGAAGCAAAAGTTGCAAAAGGATATGATCTCATTGTTTGACACCTACCGTACAATTCCATCCTGTTTACAGAGGCGCAGAAATGTCACCAACTTCAAGTCACAGTCTTAGGCATATATCAGTTTTTATGCTTGAAAATCCGAAGTTTGTGTTTCGTATGGAGCCCATTCCCCAACCGAAACAGTTTTTTTCTCCCATAGAAGCGTATCTGGTTACCGAGTACCTGTCCACCAAGAACGGATTTGGTTGGAGAACTGGAAGATTGCAGATCGGAGAAGAATATTACCGACAATATTGCAAGAGGAGAATACGGGTACTCTTTAATAAATACGAGGCAGCTGAGTGCAACGATGTAACGAACGTGATTGAGACGTGTCGCATGTTTTCTCCTTCGTCGTCTTACCCGTAGATGAGACTCCGATGCCTTTTCAACGAGTTCACGCCAGCATCTGAAGAGCCCTAAAAGTATCCTTTTAGGTTTCGCTAGAAGGACCCTGAATCTCGCTGAAATAAGCGTGAGCAGTCGAAACCCGGGATGCACACTTCCGAAGCAATCCATGAGAACTGTTACTGAAACTGCGAGAACAAGAGTAGAAGTGTGAGATATGATTGAGACTTACACTGATGCGCGAAAGACACGGTACGGCTAGAGGAAATGTTGAAATCGCCGAGCCCACCTCCCTCATCGAGACGGGATGGCACGTGACGACGCAGATCGTTTCACACGCGTTCCAGTGTCTGCCGGGTCGTGTCACGGATCTCTACGGTTCGCTCTCCTGGATTTCTTCGAAGATGCGAGGGGTCTTCCGAAACACCTGCCCCNGGATGGCACGTGACGACGCAGATCGTTTCACACGCGTTCCAGTGTCTGCCGGGTCGTGTCACGGATCTCTACGGTTCGCTCTCCTGGATTTCTTCGAAGATGCGAGGGGTCTTCCGAAACACCTGCCCCTCCAGATACTCCCACGAAAACAAGTCTGGAGAGACGAGGTGAGGGGACTTCGGCGGTCAGAGGTCCTCGGAAACGAACCTGTCGCCGAAGAAGGTGCCTATCAGAGGCGTTGTTGCATTCGCGACGGGATGAGTTTCTCCGTCTCGAGCGGGGACCCACTGAAGACGTCCAAATTTGAAACGCGTTTATTGCGTAATTGTGAGAAAAATCGAGGAAAACGGACAGGCGTTTTAGGGGGACTCGGAAGGTCTAATTTCTAATGGCGGACATTTTGGCACTGCCGTTGCAGTCAAATGATCGATTCTCATGAAGCCGTTGAATGCCATTCTCGAGTTGGGTCTTGTTGGAAAGGGTCCAACATGGGCATTTCAGTGAATTGTAGAACTTTGCCCATTCGAATCTATGCAACTGGAGAGTGGTGCAAGATAAGATATGAAAAAGGTTCAATGTGGTTCCTTAAAATTGATTTCTCCACAGCTTTGTTGATTTCCATAAAAATTGGAGATGGGCGAGATCAGTCTCTGGCTGATTTAAGGTGGAATGATCCCTTAGAGTTTTTTTTTTCAGAAGCAGCAAGCAGTGACAGTAACGCCATGTGAAATTTTATTAAATCTATAGGTCTCCTTTCTAAAGAACTTTCCAGGCGTGAGAAGACCAACGAGAAGAGAGGGTCTGCGAAGTACTCTCACGATGCACCGAAAACGCCAAATCGCGAGGACAATTCATGTGCCTCCATGCTTCATTGGCATTTCACTTTAGCAGCGACCAAATGAAGACTGGATGTAATTAACAAGTGTAAAGATGCGAAGGATGAGAGTGCCATTCCTACATCCCAGGTATTGTGTCGTGAGGGAGATGAACTGTCCCAGTTCATGACATTTTTTATGGAGACGCAACTGGCATTCGAGCTAGGTGTTCCCGGACATCGAGAAGATAATCGAGGTGAGATAATAATGAAATTTCAGCTGGGCTAAAAACAGTTGTTCCATATTTAGCTCGTTTCACGTGGGTGAGTTCCCACGGAAACAGAACTGCCGGTGCAGGGATGGACGTCTCCACGAAGTTTAAATAGCGCGGAGACGGCCACGTCCCGTCCATTCACTTTCAGACATCAGGATTCACTTCATTCGTGAGTCTGGGTTCCTTCTTCATCGCCGTCGTATATATGATTCATTTATTATCGCGAAAAGCAGGTACAGTCGGCTCCCTTCACCCTAGCTTATGACTAGGAACATTCAGAATTCGTACGGATGAGATCGTACCATGGACGTCCTCGACAGGTCCTATGCACCATGTCCCATGAAGTAGGTCTCACGGCCATGAACGTCAATATTCTCATATCCTGAGATATTTTTTGGTTGTCATACTTGTATCGTACGGGACGCCGTGAGATTCAGGAATTTCATCCCTCTAACTAACTTTACTCGACGACCAGCGAATTAGTACCGGGTATTGCACATAGATAGCTCCCCCCCCTCCACAGCCTAAACTATAAGAGCTATGAAAAAATCTCCTATATCATGAGAAAGAGAATTCATTTTCAAATCTAAACATGTACTTCTAGTGATTTGTGCGCACCTTGGAAGATAAGAAGAGATACTTGAAGAGTTTCGTCTCATCTTCCTTGTCCTTCAACACTCTGGTGGTGTTGCTTTGCCAGGCTTCTTGAGAAAATCCATGCTGCTTGTTCGTTGCCAGTTGTGAGATTTTAAATTGAAAGAAAAAATGAATACTTACTTTTTTGATGATGAACAGTAAATTAAATTCCAATCTCAGAATTTTCTAAATTTGATTTGAAACTCGGCATACAAACTCCAGTTGAGTCACCCTATATGTCTACCAAACTTCATCAGAATCAGCAGCCTCCAATCAGATTGAAAACTCACCAAAAATGACAGCTTTTTTGGCATACCCTGTACAATATGTTCTTTTGCAATACGAACGAAAAATGAAATGAATTTCAAAGAACTCTAGTCGTTTCGATACTTGAAATCCGTGGTTGTCCCGTGGACGTTCACGAGATACAACAACGAAACGCGAAACATCCACGTGAAATCCAGGGTACTATTTAAAGATTGTCTCTAAGAGACAGGACGAAGGGGACGAAAGGGAGAGGGACCTCGAAGGAAACACTCGAGATCTATACATTACAATATGCAGAAAACGTGGAAAGATGCTCGTCTGCTTATTTCTTACTCTGCCTTCCCATCGCACACTCTTATCTGTATACGAGTCGGATTCCGTCTCCGTTAGAATTGGCTCTAAATTATCGACCGAGGATTCTTTCAGAAGGTCGAGATTTATTTCTCTCACCATACCGTCCTCCGCGTAAAAACGAGAAGGCTCTTCTCGTCTAAAAAGAAGCAAGCAATTTGGTCCTTTCACGTTTGGTCTGGTCTGGCCCGGACACGGTTCCGTGCACCACATCGGCCGACAGAGGCTAANTTCATTTTCAAATCTAAACATGTACTTCTAGTGATTTGTGCGCACCTTGGAAGATAAGAAGAGATACTTGAAGAGTTTCGTCTCATCTTCCTTGTCCTTCAACACTCTGGTGGTGTTGCTTTGCCAGGCTTCTTGAGAAAATCCATGCTGCTTATTCGTTGCCAGTTGTGAGATTTTAAATTGAAAGAAAAAATGAACACTTACTTTTTTGATGATGAACAGTAAATTAAATTCCAATCTCAGAATTTTCTAAATTTGATTTGAAACTCGGCATACAAACTCCAGTTGAGTCACCCTATATGTCTACCAAACTTCATCAGAATCGGCAGCCTCCAATCAGAATTGAAAACTCACCAAAAATGACAGTTTTTTTAGCCCACCCTGTACAATCTGTTCTTTTGCAATACGAACGAAAAATGAAATGAATTTCAAAGAACTCTAGTCGTTTCGATACTTGAAATCCGTGGCTGTCCCGTGGACGTTCACGAGATACAACAACGAAACGCGAAACATCCACGTGAAATCCAGGGTACTATTTAAAGATTGTCTCTAAGAGACAGGACGAAGGGGACGAAAGGGAGAGGGACCTCGAAGGAAACACTCGAGATCTATACATTACAATATGCAGAAAACGTGGAAAGATGCTCGTCTGCTTATTTCTTACTCTGCCTTCCCATCGCACACTCTTATCTGTATACGAGTCGGATTCCGTCTCCGTTAGAATTGGCTCTAAATTATCGACCGAGGATTCTTTCAGAAGGTCGAGATTTATTTCTCTCACCGTACCGTCCTCCGCGTAAAAACGAGAAGGCTCTTCTCGTCTAAAAAGAAGCAAGCAATTTGGTCCTTTCACGTTTGGTCTGGTCTGGCCCGGACACGGTTCCGTGCACCACATCGGCCGACAGAGGCTAACTCGACGGGTCGGGAATCTCCATCGATATTTCTCACTGCCGCATTCTAAATTCGAGCCACGGCTCCTCTTCTCGGTGGACGAAGGAATGCCGTGGGAACGACGAGGACCGATTTCGATGAGATCCCGTTCTCTGGCACCTGCTTTTCTGGTAGCCGAAGCTACCTCTCGTCCTTCTCCGTGACACCCCGCGAGCCTTTTTACCCTTTTGAAGTGTAAACGTATACATGTTGTAGGGAGTGGGAGGCTCTGGAGTGGCCAGGTTTACTACGCAGATACATCGCGTCCTCGGTCTCATTAATACTCGAACTTTCAGGGTCGACCGAGGGTTTTCATGAGAGGGGCGTCGCTCTCGTGCCAAAAATGTGCGCGCGAAAACGCCTGCACGAAAAGATTTGATGCAGTTGCTCTCATGAAAAGAGCTTGGAAGAGTTCAAAGGCTCAAGGCTCAAAAGCAGGCCTCATCAAAATAAAAATCGCCTTGAATGCTCAAACCTCCTTTAGTTAGCGGTCCTTTAAGAATCCAAGGACCCTATTGGGGAAAAAAGAGTTATAATTGTAAGGCTATTGATATTCTTTATTTAAAAAATCCGGATGATGAAGGACAAACGCAAGAAAATGGAAAATGAAGCTGAAAGTCACTGGTCCCTGCTCCCTTTGCCGTTTTACCCACCGCAAAGGAAGTTGGAACGATGTACGGATTAATTTCCCTTCTCGGGGTCGCGTCGAATGCGAATTCACTCAGGAACCGAAACGAGAGAGCATGATTCCTTCCTTTGGCTCATAGGATAGGAAAAGGTGGAAAAATGCGAGGATACAGCTACCTGCTCTTCGCCCTTCTGATGACTCCATCTCTGGGGAAAATCTACGAGCGATGCGAACTCGCCCGGGAATTCCACTACACTCACGGACTCGACAGGAACGGCCTTGGGAATTGTCCGTCTCGCGATCGGCACCCTTTTTCAGTCCATTCCCCCGTTTTCTCTTTGCATTTTTGCTTTCCGTAACCGTCCAGGGGTGTGTCTGGCGTACTACGAGAGCAGCTACAACACGAACGCGGTCGGAGGACCGAACGGGAACGGATCTTACGACTACGGCATATTCCAGATCAACGACGGATTTTGGTGCTATCCCCCCGATACTCACGCCGACTGCAACATGTCCTGCTCATGTACGAATCCATCTTCTTCTTCTTCCTTTTACATACCAAGGGCTGTAAACCAAGCATACCTACTGTTTTGGGTAAAACACACACCGGAGGGGATTAAAAAATAAAAAATATCCCATTGAAATGTTTCAAATAGCCAATTTAAGAATGGAGGTTGTGGGACAGAGGAATATAGCATTTGCCGGCAAAGTGTAATTTAATCGTAGATGAAGAATTTTCTAACTCGAAGAGTTCATCCCCTCTGTCGATAGCAGGATGCAGTCAGCCATTTTACCCACATATTTAGAAGGAATGACCAACGACTTTGACCATTATAACTCTGCTCTCACCGGGAACATTTTCACGAAACTTACTCAGAGCTTAGATTGATATGTTCCCAACAAAAATGTGAACTGAGTGCCTCATCCGCCTGGCTTCTTCGCTTATATAAAGCAAGGGAAAATCTGGACAAACATTAAGTAAACTCTGTTTTTGTACTTATTGGTTCAGTCGTCATTGATTGGAATGTAGTTCACCAAAACGAAGCGGATTCGGTGGTCGAGTGGTTCCGGTTTCAAAGTGAAATCTTGGAAGCGGGGAATCGAATCCTGGCGGGCGGCCTGTTTCTCTGCCGATAGGCCATCAATCTGCTTTCATGGAGTGTGTCTGCTTAGCGTGGGGTAACACACATGCCACTCTGTGTGCCACGTCTAGGAGATACAGGTGCAGCACACCTTGAAAATCATTCGTGTAAATCATGGGCCTGGGCAATCCGTGATTTGCTCCGAAGGTCCCTTTTGGAACGTAGCGGTGTCCTTGCCAGAGAGAGTGTGACCTCGATCGCGATGCCTGAGACCAGGCAGGCACTCTCATCCCATCATAATACTCCGTAGTCGTGCAAACGCCTTATGTCCTGTCTTTTTTTTATTAAAAAAAAAAGATAATCTAAACTACCTGCGAGAAAAAGCCAACTTAAAAAATGAATTTGAATGGAATAAAAGTTGAATGTGGGGGTAGATTTTATGAAAGCAGAGACATAGCGCGTGTCCTCCACTCCACTATCAGCACGAGTTCGACCATTTTCCTAAAGGTAATTATTTTTAATCATTGTTAATGGCTTTGCTTGGAGCAATGAATTTGATGGAAATTTTTAGATATGTTGGAATAATTTAATAAAAGTGAACGTTTTTTGAAAATAACTCCAATGGGAGCAGTAATTTATTGTTAAAAATCGTTGGTCTTTTTCTCTCTATACCCTATATGTTAACAATAGGAGCGTCGAAGCATCCCGAGTACTATTTTTTGGTGTCTGGGACAGTATAACAAACACATACTCTTCCGAATCGTTAAAAAAAAAGCTTCATAATCATATACGTTTCTGTTGCTTACCAAATCAACATAGTTCACACTGTATTACTTATGTGTTGCTCTTCGGCGCCTCCTCTGTGTATGAACTCTTGATACATACTTTGAGCAAGAGGCTTAACGCATTAACCGCCACTATCCAATTTTGAGAACTCTTGATTGAAATGCGTCCAATTCTCGTAGGCTTAATGTTTTAGAGATTTTAATGGATTAGAAGCGTTTAGTACCCTCTGTTCCACTGAACAAACTCAAATTTCCATATGTGTACCACATTTTGCAGTTCACACAAGCCTTGAAGTTAGGCAATTGATTAATCAAAGAATCTACCAGAAACTCAATCTATTTAGTATTGCAGCGGTTAATGGGCCAATATGCCTTCAAGTTCACAATCCACCTGCTGCCCAATGGTTTTACAAAAGGGCAAGCCCAACTCAATTTTCAGCTTTGTTGATAGAAGTTTTCCATGGTAATGGAACTTTCATGATTCTTAGATGTTTGTGCTCTACTCCGAACAGCACAAGCACATCTCAAAGTTGTCCTAAAGATTTCTTCCCCGAGGGACAAGTAAGTCCCATAGATACATTTCTGGGAGGTCTTGGGGTCGCGGATACGTCGGGATGCAGAGAGATCACAAAGATGAACGCCTCTCATTGAAAAGGATCCAATTGGGATATTCAAGACTCAATGTCTGATTATGTTAACTGCCAAAACCTATTTATGGCCCAATGAATACGAGAGCGTACAAACTGTCGGCATCCCGTAAGGCAGTTAACGCGGTAAGACATCTTCTAGGTGTCTAGAAGCACTCGACTGGGGATGTCTTCACAATGCTTTTTGATGAACTTGGAAGAAGTGATCCAATTGGGGACATTCTTGGATGTCACCATCTTGAATGGGGGAGTCATTCAGCTTTAAAACTACATGCCAGAAAAATCTGAAGGTACGAGTGTCATGTAGTTGGCATACCAATAATATCATTTTCCAAAGCAAATATGGGAATATGAAAGCCAAATGCAACAAGAAAATTCAAATGCGTCGCTGTGCTGCATGCGTGTTGACGAGAAAAGTCGACTGAGACAAGATATCTCACGCCAGTGCCAGACGACTGCCACGCAGAACAGTATTTCCACTACACACGTCTCCAAATACATTTGCATGTGGTGCTGCTGTTACGATAAATCTTATTGGCAACCATCGATACGTCAGGTTTGAATTAATTTCAGGCAAAAATGTGGGAAGGAAGGCCAGATTCCGACGAGAAAGGCTCGTTTTGACGTATCTGACAAAAAGCGCAGAATGTGCACTGGTTTCCAAAATCTAAGGAACAAATAGATTTTCTCAAGTTCCGCAACATCCCCGTCATGAAAATGGTCGAAACATGCAGGAGTACGTAAATTAACGATGCTTCGTTGTCATAGCACATGCAAAGAGGTGGAGATCGCCCGTTGATATGCAAATCACATGTCTTTATAAGACGGCGCTCTGAGACGGGCTAGCGCAGTTCACGTTTGGATGGCAAGCAGTTAATTTCATGATAGCCGAACCCTGAAAATGACCAAAATGAACAATCAAACTGAGCCATTGAGATGGCGCGCCATTGTGCCTTCTGGATCGCAATCGTTTGCGGGGATCGTCCGGCCGACACCCAACAACACATTTATGGCTGGTTTATCCGCAACATTCACATGGTGTTCCTCGTATCACGGATTTTCAATGTGTTCCTTAAGTTTTGGAAACCAGTGTAGATGGAGTATGTGTGGACATTAGAAAGTGAAATGCAGGACGGAAATTCAAATACTACATAGGAACATCAGATTGCTTCAAGGGTCACTGGAAAGAAGGGGTTTTGTTTTCAATGCTGCAACGGGAAAAGAACTAGGTTTTTACATACATAGCATATGAAAAGGTTCTCACACAAAAGGTGGTTAAAGGAATTAGTATCTTCATTTTACTAACAAATTTCCCGAAAAAACTTCAAAAAATCTCTAAAAAAGGAAACATTGTTCATTTTGCAGCCCTGACTGACAATGACATCACAAATGATGTTACATGTGCCAAACTAATCTACAACCGCCATGGATTTGAGGCATGGTATGGATGGATCAACAACTGCCAAGGCACTAATGTGGAATCCTGGGTCTCCGATTGCTTCTAAATCATCATCAATAAAAGACCTATCGGCCAGACTTATGTCTCTTTCTCAAGTTACACATATACAGGAAGGGCTATAAAAAAAAATGGAGACACCGCAGTGGGGTGCTGTCGGTTGCTACAGAAGTCTTCGGCAAAAGGGTTAAAGATGAGGTTTATGCCCACTGTTTCCATGTCATTGACCACCCACTGGACATGATCATGCAGGAGTTTAATGCCATCCCAGTGGGGATGTGCCAAAGTGCATGGAGACAGGTGTCCAATCATCTCTGGGTGTGGTAGCATGTTGATGGTACCCAGGTTGATCATGAAATAGAGAACACAGAAAGACAAGGTGCTAAATTTGTGTGGACACATTCCTTTTGATGCTATTTTTCTATTACTTTTTTGGGCAATTTGACTACCTAACCTGCACAGATGAAAATATATAAAGCCACTCCAAAGTAATAAAGTTTCAAACAGTGAGTAATTACATCTGACTCACCCTGTATTTTTCTATGTGGCTGGGAAAAATGTTCAGCTTTTTCAACCAAACATTGAGTTCTTCAATTCCCAATTTTTCTATTGCAATTTTGCAAATGCAACTTTTCTGGGATCATGTTCATACTTGCAGGTTATTTTTGCTGTCTGTGAATTCTGACTCATGCATTCCTAGCAAAACCCTATAATAAAAAACCAATTAGAGACAGAACATTTTAATTAGCACAGTGAAACCAAGTTCATGCATACCATGAGAATAAAAATAATAATCTGTAGCGTCTTTATCATTTCTCCAGAAGAAAAAGTCTGAGACCGATTTTAAAAATGATACATTTATTGATCTCTCAAAATCTGTTATGCTGCATTTGCATAGCACTATTTTATAATTTCTAATTCGTAATATCTTATACTTGGTAGCCATCACATATCCATCACTTTCTGCATGAGATAGGATGATGAATACTCTCCATCTCTCCAAGCACTCTCAGCAAGATGAATCAGGTAGTCAAGAAAGTCTCAAGAATCATAAGAGTACAGTCTGGGTTACATTTCTTGGCAGACATCATCAATGATGAATCATTGGTCTACACCCTTCATGCCAAACTACTGTACCAGCATGACCTATAATCACAGCACTAATAAAAATTAGAATTTTAAATGTCCTCTTTGGCCATTACAAAGTGGATTTTCTTCGACTTCGAATGTGGGAGATGCTTTCACATACAATGTTGAACAACATGCCAACTCCTTTAGGAAAATGCACAGGCAGACCATGAAGTAATGACATATCTGTGTCAATTCATTGAGTACTACAAAAATGGTACAAAATGAAGGATGAGGGGCTGAAACTGGTTAACATGAGTGCATCATATTAGTAGTTAAGCTGCATAGGTGCATTGTTATCATCATATGTATGAGTTGATAACTGCACTCACTGCTTTCAGCAAGGGGTGAGCACTGTTAGGACTACGTTTTCTCTCTGATGGTCAGTGGTGGCTCATGATATTTAGTGCTAGTGGTTCATCTACGTAGGCAGTGACCTCCTCTGCCTTCCCCTTTCCATAAACAAACCACTAATGCTAAACAACACGAGCTGCCACTGCTGATGGTGCTTATAAATATAATTGCTTGAAGGACAGGTCTCATGCCAGATGTTCTAGGTTGAATGCTCAACCATCCACCCAGAGGCATTTTGGCAAAACTGAACATCAGGCCAAATTTTGCATTTCCTCAATAAGGGATTGAGGTTATGGTTCATGAAATAATTAAAATAGAAGAAAATTTGGCTTAAAAATTTTGAAGTTTACTAAAGGAGAAAGCTTTGACTATATTAAAAAAAAATACTTATAAAGAAAATCCTGCTCATCTGATTTCAGATGGTTCAAATCTCATCAGCAAAACTGGTCATGCAAAATACTTTTAGTATGTTCGCTGATGAGCAGCAACTTGAAGAAGCCATATCTGAAGAACTGACTTTATTCAGAAAGATGAAATTTTGGAATTTTGAGTTTCTCTAGAATGGAGGAGACTGGAGTACAGAATGACAATTTATTAAACTTGTCTTAAGAAAGTCCATTGCATGAAAAATTTTGGAAATCCAAGTTGCTTCCATGGTTTAGTTTTAAGAAGTTCCAACTTCTAAAAATTAGTCAATCTTTAAGATTACATTCCTGGCAATAAAAATGCAAAGGCTGTCTTCATTCAAAGTGATAGTTTTCTGCTGATTACTGAAACTTGAAATCCAGGTAAAGTGACTCACTGTACCCCTCTCCCACTGGGTACAATGGGATGAGCTATTGTGTAACGTGGGACACCCCTGTTTTCAATGCATAAAGCATTAAAAATCTTTCTCTTTCAAGAACTTCAATGGGGGTCATGCACAGAAACATTCAATTTAAAGAAAGGGATTTGTCCTTTTGCAATACTAATTTGGAATATTTCATGCTATTTTACAGTAGCTTGAACAAATTTTTAATTCATAATAAACTTAACACAATAGGTTACATTTAAGCAGAAGGGGGGGGGGGAAAGGTGGAATCCAGTCTATTCCAAACTATCCCACTATATCTCAAGCAAACTTTTTGAAAATTGTACTTTTCTGGACTGAGAAGCACACAAGCAATCTGAAAAAAAAACTCATGACAAATCTAAGATGGGAACCAATTATCACTAACGAAATGGATTTCTTGAACCAAGCAAAGCATATTTTGTCAGGGTAAATTATCCCAACATGCTTACAATTTAGTCAAGACACAAAGATTTTTGACTTCATTGACTTTTTCCACCCTACCAGCAAAAATACAACCAAACCTCTTGTAAATGTGAGAAGTAACATAACACTTCTGTCAATAGATTTAAATATTGCTCCATCTAGTTAAAGGCACAAAAAATCTAGTATTCCACTTTATACTTCAGTCTCCTCTACTACCAAGCAAGACTCTAAAAAAAAATCTGAGATGGTCAAGCAACACATTTGGACATTTGGCTTGGAATGGCCATGAGCCACCTGGAGCCTAAACTCACAATAGCTCTGAAACAAGGAACAAATGAAAATTTCAAAATAATAACCATAAAAATATTCAAGACAGATATGAAGGTTACATAACCATTCCTTCTTATCAATAAGGATAATCACAAAACAATGTAATGTAATACAAGTGGAAGTCTTCCATGCTTCTGGGATGATGTGTTCAGGGACAGAAGGTAATGAAAGAGGATGAAAGGATTGTTCAGGAGAGAACACACCCACTGTGATTTGAAGGGTCTTTCCCTGATTCTTGGATGGGCTTCTCTTTCACTGCAGGCAGAGGTCCTTCTACTACCTTGGCTGCTCTCTGAAACAATGCAGAAACTGTTGATAAATTTCAGTAATCCAGTTCTGAAATCTAGCAGGGATTGTACATCACCTACAAGGTGTGGCAAAAAAAAAGACCAATGACTTTTAACATTAATGTCTCACTTCCCAATGGAGCTATTTTCATGAAACTTTAATTATGCATATACAGGGTAGGCCAAAAAAAAAACAAACAAATCTATCATTTTTGGTAAGTTCTCAATCTGATTGTAGGTTGCCAATTTTGATGAAATTTAGTAGACACATAGGGTGACTCAATTAGGGTTTGTGTACCAAGTTTCAAATAAAAATTCCAAAAACTGTGAGATTGGCATTTAATTTACATTTTTTCACCAAAAAGTAAGTGTTCATTTTTTCTTTCAGCTTAAAATCTTTCACAACTGACAAAAAACAAACAA